GTTAAAAAAAACACACAAACCAACGCATCCGCCATTACTTATGAATGCTGTTATCTTAAAGGAGGTTAACATTCACAACCACTTAGGTATTTATTTCTCTGGGGCGGGAACTAGGCTGAGCATCTCTGGGGACGGGAACTAGGCTGAGCATCTCTGGGGACGGGAATTAGGCTGAGCATTTATTTGTTTTATTTTATTTTTGAAACTTGGGGCAGGTTTTGCATGATTGTTAAGCTATTTACATATAAGCTTAGATAGCAAAAACCCCATATTGTAGAATTCCTGACAGGAAACATTCTGATTAGTGTCTCAGAAAAATGAAAAAAGGACAGCATTCCACGATATAGCATAAATTTCCTGAACCCCTAATTTAAGTTTGTTGAGCGGATAGTGTCAGGTCTCTTTTCTAAACCTCGCCTTTGTCTGTATCTGGCACTGGTTTCGGCTTTTTTGTCGATAATTGTGTCAAGGTGACTAAATGCTATTAACGTAAGTGTGCTATGTAATGTACAAGGTCTTGTCCTCCTGTGTCCATGGGTATGCTTGTTTTACAATTTTATTCTCCGTGCAACTGCGCATGTTCACCTGTCCGCGACGTCTGCCCATTGTTCTGGTAACTTTGACTTGGACCAATAAAGAAGAAACATCATCATAACAACTATCTCGATTATATTTTACAGCGTAACTTTCTACGTGAAAAATTATCAAAAAAGCTAAATATACTGCGTGAATTAAAACTTAAAATCGACAGATAATCACTCCAAAACAATGTACATTTCTGTCATTAGACCAATTTTGGAATATGGGGATTTAGTTTGGGACAACATAACAATTGCTCTGTTCCAAATGCTAGAAAGTTTACAAGTAGACGCCGCACGTATATTTACCGGTGGGACAAAACTTACCGCACGTATATTTACCGGTGGGACAAAACTTACCGCACGTATAGTTACCGGTGGGACAAAACTTACCGCACGTATAGTTACCGGTGGGACAAAACTTACCGCACGTATAGTTACCGGTGGGACAACACTTACCGCACGTATAGTTACCGGTGGGACAACACTTACCGCACGTATAGTTACCGGTGGGACAACACTTACCGCACGTATAGTTACCGGTGGGACAACACTTACCGCACGTATAGTTACCGGTGGGACAAAACTTAGAAACCCCTGAAAACTAGACGTGTCTACCGTAGAATTATACAGATACATAAGATGATACATCACATGACCAAACATATCTTAGAGACATTATACCTCAATCAAACTTATTTCCCTACTCATATCTCCGAACTGTAATGTTTTACGTCAAACTTACCTATCATCACTACCCCACAATATCACAACTAATTTGTTATTATATGGTGATTTACATTTACCAGAAGCAATTATTATACATCTGTGCAGAATTACATTATGCAAAGCAAGCGTTTTAAATGAAAACATATGATAATCAACGCATATGTACCTCTCTTAATGTCTATGTACGTACATGTTTGTGTTGTGTTGATGACAGTTATTGTGTGAGTGAGCACAATAGATGTGGAAATCATACTATGAACAAGCTTTCATTTTGTTTGTGTTTAGGCGTACGTCACGTCGAGGCGTCATTTCCAACATGAGTATCACTGCTATTCATATCCAACGATAATTGTTACATTGTTTACATGTCCCCTTCATATGTCTGCCATTCTACGAAATTAGTTTATGTATATGCATAAGAACTTACTTTCAATATGATTTAATGATTACTATATCTGCTGTCAGTATCATATACCTAACGTAACGAAACGGACATTGTATAAGTACTTAGTACTTGTTTCCGAATCGTTGTTGATTATGTATTGAAAATATAATGTATTGTATATTACCAGAAATAAATAGTTAAAACTAAACACCGACTTAAAAAATTACCAAACAAGACATCCAAACAATATTCGACCTATTCGCTATACATATCATAAGTAGTTTCTCCCTGCTAGCATTGCAACATGAAATCAATTGCCAGAAACACTAAAAATTGAAATGTCTATCTCTAAACCTAAAAACTATCTAAACAGGAATGTTGTTGCTATTCCTTTCTGTTACAATAACGGTTCCCTTATTGGTCAGCGCCCTTGTAGGTGGGGGATCGGGAAAAGAATACACCTGGTGTTACCCACTGCATATATCGTAGGAGGCGACTAATGGGGATATGCTTTGGTGTCCTCTACTTGGGGACACAAAAGCGACAAAAATTAATCTGCTGCATCCATTGCAATATTTGGGATCTTAATTTTTCTTTCTTCTTCTAATGGCAACAACTGGTTCACCCATTGTCAGTATAATGTGACCGGGCAGAATGCTGTGCTGGGTGCCTTCGGCATGGAATTTCAGTGAGATAGCACTATAAAGTTGGCATCAGAACCGCGCTATCACAAGGAAGCAAGCACACCAATATACCCTGTCTCCTGCATACACACGCAAGCACGCGTATACTACACACATGGAGGCACGTCCTTAAATGATCTTAGCTGTTAATAGGACGTTAAACAAAATCAAACCAAACCAAACTTATTGGTCAGATCCACCATGCCAGGTTCAGCATGGAATATAATTCCTTGAATTATTAATTCTTCCAGAAACATCTTGTTGATAGCCCTATATGTTTTTGCATTGCTGCCTTCGATATACTTCCTAACACATTGTCACACGTGTGAATCTCCCAGACATAAATGCCTTGACCGCCTTTCTTACCAACTATCTACTAATGCATTGGTATATGGATACTCGAACCTTAACAGCCCAAAATATAAAAATCCTCGAGAGAAAAACTTCATTGTTCAGTCTAAACTATTTGGTTAAGCTATACATATATTAATATGTTGATAAAATGTAATTGAGAAAACCTCAAAAATGTTTTCATAATGATGTATTTACTTACCATTTCATGGAATATCAATGTATTTCGTAAGATGTTCCTTGCCACTTATTTTTCGTTTCTTCATTGTTTTACATGTACCTGTAGTATTATCATATATTAGTCATTTATAAGCCCACTAGTTTAGAAAGATGAAAAGGATGTAAAAGTGCACAGTACTTGTTTCCTCATCATGTTTGCTTATGTGAGTTGTACTAATCACGCCATATATTTCATTACTTGCATAAACAAGTTTTAACCAATATTTTTAATAGGATAACAAAATGTGCACACTGACATGCGACACGAGGAAATGACGTAATATGTGTCTATACTTTCAGTAAAGTAAGCAAGAAATATCTATCGGGCCCACATTTTTTGTATATACATAACAGTAATATCTATCGGAATTGCCAGGGTTTTACAACTTGACGTCTTATCCAATAACCCGCCTACCTCCTCGAAATACACCTATATATAAAAATGCAGTACGAAACAACAAAGAGTTGGAAACAACTGCACTCGTGGAAAATCTACATTCGCTTCTGGGTCATGATGTAAATTATCTGTATTGTTTCATAGATAAACTCTCTACTTTGATAAGCAATAATATTCGTAACAAACTAATCAAATAAAAACCAAGCCATACATGGCATACAAAATATAAAATTTGGTGATCAGTGCCTGAAGTCAATATACAACGAGTTAAAACACATCATTCAGAAGCGAAAAACTTGTAAATCATACTGGTATCACTATATTTCCCCTTGAAACTACATGACGAAATTTGATCTTATATCACACAAGAAGGAGCTGACTATAATGACATAGTATCCCTTAAATGGAAGGAAATATGACCCTATACCCAAAGCTCGTGCTCAAAATGCATCAGACGGCCTTAAGTCTAAAACAAAACATCTCTAGTAACCAGTTTTATTAATATATATGTGAAATGCCTTCCCTGCCAAACCTCCAAGTCATTCCGGAATTAACCATAACAACAAAACAAAACACGTTCATCTTTTGAAAAATTAAAATCAGGGTAAAGCAATGTGAAACAAATGATACTAAATTAGTTTTCTCTTGAGATAGCCCCCATCCTTCAACTTCAAATTGGTGTAACAAGTCTTTAAATAGTTATTGTTCCAAAGGACAGGCGGTCAGCAAATTTGTCTCCTGTTTACGGGAAACAACAACAACCTCAATCTCATTAAGATCTGATGTTAATAAAAAATACCTACATTCATGCGGTACGTAATAATGAACATTTGCATTTATTCAGATTGCTACAATCTGTCACCGAAGCAAAATATCTGGAAGTCACTCTGCAATCCAATTAAAAATGGGAAGCCCGTATCAAAACTTGATGCTCTGAAGCAAATTAAATATTAGGCTTTTAATGAGGAAACACGAAAGTATTATCAAAAACTGTTAAACAACGGGCATACCTATATCCCGTAAGACCTTCCATGGAGTAATCCTGTTCGGTCTGGGACCCACATACCAGAATTGATACTGATACAATCGTAATGGTGCAACGCAGAACAGTCAAATACTAAGAAACACCACCAAATCTTGGTGACATGCTCAACACACTGGAATGGCCTATTTTGTTGCCAGAATACATGTTTCTGAGACTCTCTACTGTCTGCAAAATTAAAAACAATCTAATAGCTATCAGGAAAACCCCAATTCATTCCTCCAAATCGCCCCTCCCAGCATTCTAATCAAAATTCTTGCCAATACCAATCCACAAAAAACAGTATAGAACTTTGATTTTTTTCTTTCCAAAACTTCGTTCATACTGGAACAACCTGACTTAGAATATTGCCTCTGTCGATTCTCGTGATTCTTTCTAATTAGCAGCTTCCCGTATTCATTAGATACCTCGCTTTTATCCAGTTTTGAACAATCAACATACACAGTAGACAGTAGTACAATGAACAAAGAACGGTAACTCGTATAATGAACCTACACCACGTTATCCGTTTAGATCAGCGCTTCCATCGAGGAAACATAGGTATGAACGTAACACACAAACCCATGTGATTGCACCTTTAAAATTTGGTAATAGATACTATAAGCCAAAACATGAATTACACTTCATCATAGAGCTGTTCGTCCATCTCAGTGATGTAGGGGACAACACGCTGTTCGTCTATGTAGTAGGACACCTCATTGATGTAGGGGACAAAACGCTTGTCGTCTATGTAGTAGGACACCTCAATAGATACTATAAGCCAAAACATGAATTACACTTCATCATAGGGCTGTTCGTCCATCTCAGTGATGTAGAGGACAAAACGCTGGTCGTCTATATAGTAGGACACCTCAGTGATGTAGGGGACAACATGCTGGTCGTCTAGGTAGTAGGACACCTCAGTGATGCTAGGGGACAAAACGCTGTTTGTCTATGTAGTAGGACACCTCGGTGATGCTCGGGGACAAAACGCTGGTCGTCTATGTCGTAGGACACCTCAGTGATGTAAGGGACAAAACGCTGGTCGTCTCTGTCGTAGGACACCTCGGTGATGTAGGGGACAAGACGCTGGTCGTCTATGTAGTACGACACCTCGGTGATGTAGGGGACAAAACGCAGGTCGTCTATGTAGTAGGACACGTCAGTGATGTAGGGGACAAAATGCTGGTCGTCTATGTAGTAGGCCACCTCGGTGATGTAGGGGGCAAGACGCTGGTCGTCTATGTAGTAAGCCATCTCAGTGATGTAGGGGACAACACGCTGGTCGTCTATGTAGTCGGACATCTCAGTGATGTAGGGGACAACACGCTGTTCGTCTATGTAGTAGTACACCTCGGTGATGCTAGGGGCCAAAACGCTGGTCGTCTATGTCGTAGGACACCTCAGTGATGTAAGGGACAAAACGGTGGTCGTCTATGTAGTAGGACCCCTCGGTGATGCTAGGGGACAAAAAGCTGGTCGTCTATGTAGTAGGGCACCTCAGTGATGCTAGGGGACACAACGCTGTTCGTCTATGTAGTAAGACAACTCAGTGATGTAGGGGACAAAACGCAGGTCGTCTATGTAGTAGGACACTGTGATTGCACCTTTAAAATTTGGTAATAGATACAATAAGCCAAAACATGAATTACACTTCATCATAGAGCTGTTCGTCCATCCCAGTGATGTAGGGGACAACACGCTGTTCGTCTATGTAGTAGTACACCTCAGTGATGAAGGGGACAACACGCTGGCCGTCTATGTAGTAGGACATCTCAGTGATGTAGGGGACAAAATGCTGGTCGTCTATGTAGTAAGACATCTCAGTGATGAAGGGGACAAAATGCTGGTCGTCTATGTAGTAAGCCACCTCAGTGATGAAGGGGACAACACGCTGGCCGTCTATGTAGTAGGACATCTCAGTGATGTAGGGGACAACACGCTGTTCGTCTATGTAGTAAGACACCTCAGTGATGCTAGGGGTCAAAACGCTGGTCGTCTATGTCGTAGGACACCTCAGTGATGTAGGGGATAAAACGCTGGTCGTAGGACACCTCAGTGATGTAGGAGACAAAACGCTGTTCGTCTATGTAGTAAGACACCTTTTAAAATTTGGTAATAGATACTAAAAGCCAAAACATGAATTACACTTCATCATAGAGCTGTTCGTCCATCTCAGTGATGTAGGGGACAACACGCTGGCCGTCTATGTAGTAGGACATCTCAATGATGTAGGGGACAAAACGCTGGTCGACTATGTAGTAGGACACCTCAGTGGTGAAGGGGACAACACGCTGGTCGTCTATGCAGTAGGACACCTCAGTGATGAAGGGGCCAACACGCTGGTCGTCTATGTAGTAGTACACCTCGGTGATGCTAGGGGACAAAACTAAGCAGAAGGGGATGCTAAAAAAAGTTAATTTTAAGAATTTCAAAATTTAAAGGTGTACTGATCAATTTGAATTGAATAAGCTCAGGGATGAAGGGGACAAAACGCTGTTCGTCTAGGTAGTAGGACACCTCAGTGATGTAGGGGACAAAATGCTGGTCGTCTATGTAGTAGGCCACCTCGGTGATGCTAGGGGACAAAAAGCTGGTCGTCTATGTAGTAGTACACCTCAGTGATGAAGGGGACAAAATGCTGGTCGTCTATGTAGTAAGACCCCTCAGTGATGAAGGGGACAACACGCTGGCCGTCTATGTAGTAGGACATCTCAATGATGTAGGGGACAAAACGCTTGTCGTCTATGTAGCAGTACACCTCAGTGATGTAGGGGACAAAAAGCTGGTCGTCTATGTAGTAGTACACCTCGGTGATGCTAGGGGCCAAAACGCTGGTCGTCTATGTAGCAGAACACCTCAGTGATGTAGGGGACAAGACGCTGGTCGTCTATGTAGTAAGCCATCTCAGTGATGTAGGGGACAACATGCTGGTCGTCTAGGTAGTAGGACACCTCAGTGATGAAGGGGCCAACACGCTGGTCGTCTATGTAGTCGGACATCTCAGTGATGTAGGGGACAACACGCTGTTCGTCTATGTAGTAAGACAACTCAGTAGTGAAGGGGACAAAACGCTGGTCGTCGATGTAGTAGGACACCTCAGTGGTGAAGGGGACAACACGCTGGTCGTGTATGTAGTAGGACACCTCGGTGATGTAGGGGACAAGACGCTGGTCGTCTATGTAGTACGACACCTCGGTGATGTAGGGGACAAGACGCTGGTCGTCTATGTAGTACGACACCTCGGTGATGTAGGGGACAAAACGCAGGTCGTCTATGTAGTAGGACAACTCAGTGATGAAGGGGACAACACGCTGGTTGTCTATGTAGTAAGACACCTCAGTGATGCTAGGGGTCAAAACGCTGGTCGTCTATGTCGTAGGACACCTCAGTGATGTAGGAGACAAAACGCTGTTCGTCTATGTAGTAAGACACCTTTTAAAATTTGGTAATAGATACTAAAAGCCAAAACATGAATTACACTTCATCATAGGGCTGTTCGTCCATCTCAGTGATGTAGAGGACAAAACGCTGGTCGTCTATATAGTAGGACACCTCAGTGATGTAAGGGACAAAACGGTGGTCGTCTATGTAGTAGGACCCCTCGGTGATGCTAGGGGACAAAACTAAGCAGAAGGGGATGCTAAAAAAAGTTAATTTTAAGAATTTCAAAATTTAAAGGTGTCCTGATCAATTTGAATTGAATAAGCTCAGGGATGAAGGGGACAAAACGCTGGTCGTCTATGTAGTAGGACACCTCGGTGATGCTAGGGGACAAAACGAAGCAGAAGGGGATGCTAAAAAAAGTTAATTTTAAGAATTTCAAAATTTAAAGGTGTACTGATCAATTTGAATTGAATAATAAAAAAAAAAATAGTTTGTTATGAGCTGTGCCATTACTCAAAATGGTAACCATGGCCATCAAGGTTATCGCAAACCTCTGGGATTAAAATATCCCCCAGCCGAGTCTACCACCTTGTTTCTTAAAAGTTGAACCGAACACACATAGGTGATTGGACTTTTAAAATTTGGTTAAAGATATAGTGAGCCAATAAGTTATTACACTGCATTATACATCTGTTTCGTCTATCTAGGACTTATTAGTGATACTAGGGGCAAAACGTTGGAAATCCAAATTGGTGAAAAATACTATCAAAACAAGAGGGAATGTACGAAAAAGGACCTAAGCTTATGACTTTCAAAATAGAGAGGAATACTTGTTAATTTCAAATGAAAAAAGAAATGTTTAACAGGAAAATCAATCCTAAAACCCCTGGTAGTCAAGGTCTTCCCTCACTGACTTATCTGAGTGACGGGTAGAAGCTTCCGCCACCATGTCCTGTACCGACTCGTATATAAGTATGAGAACACCGAATACTGCTTATTAATCAAAGCAAACAAGTTGCATAGGAAAAGACGTTATTCCACAAAAACAATAATATTGAAATTTAATGGATGAAAAAAAAATAGAAGGGCCAGGAACAAGACTAGTTTCTGGTCTGTAACTGCTATCTCAGGAAAAACCTACTTGTCTTTGTTAACTTATCTTTAAAAGCGGTGTTTACACAGTTCAGCTAGTAAAGGAAAACGCCGGGAAGGATAATACCCATGATTTCCTATTGACAAACAGCCAAAGTTCAGAAGATAGATATGCTGCCCTGGATTTCAGATCTTGGCTGAACTAACCACACCGAGACAGAAACAAAGAACCATTCCACGGTACAGACTATATTCAGACAGTGCCTCTAAGTACCCTCCAGAAAATCAACAACTATTTGGCCTTTAGGCCACTTTCGGTGACTCGGTGTAAGATGGTAAAAGTAATATATATTACACAAGCAGATTAGAAGGAAGAAAGGTAGAAGTACCTAGACCAGCCATTAACTTCAGTTAATGCTGGAGAAACAACAATGACTTTACAAACAGGAATCTGGAGAAGCAGATATAGAGAAAAAGAAATTGAAAGGAGAAAATCAAAAAGAAGCACAGAGATCATTCAAAGAAGGAGACCACTATAGTTCGAAAGTGCTCAAACATTGGACAAAGTGGGATTTCTTCGCTCAAACATAACGGGAAACTACTCAAATACTCTGTGGAAAAGGCGTATCTGCTGATCCAACAATTTAAGTTGGTACTCTTGAAAACAAACCACAATTTCAAACAAAGGAGTGTGACGCCTTTGGTACAATGACTCCCCGGTTGGAGTTACACTGGTGAGAATATCGACATTACACAAATGGGAAATGAAAACTCAAGGCCATTGGTGTCCAAAATGCACCCGATCCAGGTGGAATATTCCCGTTAATCCTTAGGGAACTCCACGATGTCATCGCCCCCATACTGAGACTTGTTTGTATGGATGAGTGTAATTCCTGAGGATTGACGCACCGTTCTAGTGGAGTACGCAGTCTCACCCAAACCAATGTTTTGTTGCTGAAGTTCAAATAATTTAACTGTAACTCTGTTTATTCTATACAAAAAAAATAGTTTCTGGAGAAAACTGCTTGTTTCTTTCTTCAGCGCTTGAAATGTTCAGGCTTTGTCTGTATCTGATCGTTGTCACCCGTTTTATCAATTAACGACTTTCCTTTAGCACTTAGTAACATGGGTGAGAATATGAGAGGGTGTTAGTGTCAGCTGCATCATTTAAAAGGGTTTCATTGATGGAATAAAACATGTCATTAATAAAAAAAAAAATAAAAAAAAAGTTGCAGAGCAGTGGGCCCAGGGCAGCTACATGTATGACCTTCTTTTACATACCTTTCCAAGGTTGGTGCCATGTGGTAGGCTATCGAGAGCCCTGGACAGGTCTGTGAGTATTTCTCCTTCATAATATCTCTTATTCTATGCCTTCCTTCATTTCGCAATGACTAACAAAAAAGCTTACTGGTAGTGCCCCGAGTAAAAGGTTCTAGAGAAAGCATTCATTTCTTTTGAAATGGCTCTTTCAAATAGTTATGATGTAGATGGTAAAATACTTATTGGCCTTTTGCTTCTCTTTCTGTTGGAATCTTTTTTTCTTATATGTAGGTGTTACTCTGGTCAGTTTTAATCCATTAGTCACTGGAGTGAAGGACCCCTCCTCTTACAGTACTATTGATCAAAGCGGTTTTTAGGCCGTGGTCCAACCTTTTCAAGATATGTAACCCTATTACTGCTTAATATTACTGAAAGAGAAAGAAAACGCTGGTGATAATTCATTTCCGATTATGGCTATGATACTTCGGTGGCTGAATCCAGAAGAGGGAGTAGAGTTTCAATTATCCTGTGCATTATTTACAAAGAAATTGATCATACAGATACTAGTTTGTCTTTTTCTTTTAGTTGAATAATGCTTTTAGACCTATGGCCTCTGTTTGTCGGGAAAGGTTTGATGATGGGTAAAAAACACTAACATATTGTCCCTTCTACACACCTATCCATGAAATAATGTCTTACAGAAATCTCTTAATTGTTGTGGCCTCCTTTCTGTTTCCTGAATAGCCATATATAACATCAGAACTGCTTTATGTTTTCCGTTGCCGTTTTGTTTCATGTGAATGTGTTCACCTATGTCTATGACATCATTAGAAGATTGTCATGAACCTTACATCACTTATGTCGTCAAAGATATGGGCAACACGAAAAGGGACCTAACTCAATTCCTACTCCAGTTTAAGGGCATCGAGCCATCTGAAGTCCCCCCTATAAACTTGTTAACCTAGTTGTGTACATGTCAACCCTACTATATATAATAACACCTTATGTGAAATGCTGTCAGTCACTATATCCAGTGTTCACAACTTGTATACCAAAAAAACTTGCTGGTAGGCCTATGTGAGCGAGAAATACATTCACTATATCAGGGATGGTGTTTCCCTTTTACAAAACGTACGTGTTGGTGCTTTCGCCATAATTTTCGAATCACAAACGCTACAAAGGTCCTGATGGGATCCAAATGATTCATCCATTTGGCGTTTGAAATCAAGTCCGATAATAGCCCGAGTTTCCTCTGGCACCAGACTGAGACATTTTGACAGATAGATGTCAGGGTCAGAGGAAACTCGGGCTATTCCGTAAACAACTTATCATTCATGATCATTACGAGCAATTTTTGTTTGTGAAGTTAAAATCACTGCAAAGTTAAATTTCCTATACAGGATCTGTATTATCATCTTCACCGGACTCTAACATGTTTAAAGAAATACGTACATGTACCCATATATGGCAGTTCGGTTATTTACATCATATGTTAACCAAGTATGTTAGCTCTGTAAGTATATTTCAGTTCCTGATCAATCCCATGTTTATCAAGTCTGTTTTTAAATGTATTTATTGAGGGGTGATGATATCACATCCTCTGGAAGACTGTTCCATATTTTACTACTCGTAGAGTGTAGAGTTTGTCCTTATTCTACTGCGGGTCTGGGATGTCTGGACGGTATAACACCACCACCTTCACAACGTCTATCTCTCCTACGGCCTTGTCAGCGACTGCAAAATGGGTCATCTTACTTAGTTTCGCTAATGACTAAAATGTCCACATGACTTATAATAATATTCCTTTAATGACTCCCTTTAAGCCCATGGATCTCTGGTAAAGTTACCCTCTCCTCACTGCCACTCTGTAGATTTTTGGCACGAGACAGAGACAATATCACATGTGCACTTCTTTCACCGATACTATTTGTTCTCTTTTTGAAACGAAACTTGTCGTCCATTTAATAACCAGGTCACTTAACCCATACGATGACATTTTACTTATCAATATTTTATGTGGAACGGTTTCAAAAGCTTTTTGAAAGTCCATGTACATGCAACCTATATTTAAACCTTTATCTAATGCATCTGTCCAGTACCTTAAGAAGCAGTAGAGAAGTTGATCTGCCTGGAAGGAATTCGTATTGCCTCGGCGAAAGTAGCTCATTTTGCTTTATATGATCGACTTTGTGTCTATGATCTTACAAACCGACATTTTCCTTTTAGTAATCTGCGGAATGTCACCTTCTTGTGACGGTTCCTTAACAAAAATACCCTTAAAAGAATTTGCAAGTACATTTGCCTTTTCTTTATCCGTAACCGCTTTGCGCCACTGATCATTTCCGGTTACGGTTTTTGGAGGTCGCCGATATCACTTTTAGTTTCAGTTTTAGAGCGAATGTACCTCCAGATAGCTTTCGGGCTCTGTTTTGCATCAGCTGTTAGGTTCTGTTCGAAATGAACAGTATGGCATTTATTGAAATGGATGTGTACATACATCATTTGGAAGGGAAATTCCTTGCCTTTCATAAAATAATAACAAAACGGCAAACATGTCCATATTTGAATGATTAATTTACCTTTTTCTGTCTGTACACAGATGGGGTAGCAAGTGTTCCCTGTAGGCAATCAGGCGTAAGATTATGACGTCATAAAGCATGCACCGTCAGATTTTCCCGCCAAGGCTTTCCATGTTTGGTTTGGTTTAGTATTGTTTAACGTCCTATCAACAGCTATGGTCAGGACGGCTTCCCCTGTGTGCAAGATGCATACGTGTAGTGTATGCGCGTGTGTTTTGGGAGGCTGCGATATGTTCGTGTTTGTCTCCTTCTGATAGCGCGGAACTGATGCCGACTTTATAGTGCTAACTTTTACCTCACTGAAACATACTGCCGAAGACATCCAGCAGGACACCCTTATAACCCGGTCACATTATACCGTGACTGACAACGGACGAATCAGTCGTCCCACTCCTAAATTGCTGAGTGTTAAGTAGGAGTAGAAACTACCATTTTACAGACTCTGATATGTCTCGGCCAGNGTAAGTAGGAGTAGAAACTACCATTTTACAGACTCTGGTATGTCTCGGCCAGGGGACAGAAAACCCAAAGCCTTCCTCACATACTGTATATAACAGCTAGATACGAATTTCAATACTTGGCATTTATGTATACCGTCATCATGTGAAGCTGTCAGTAAGTTACTTGTAGGACATAAATAAGTAGCGATTTGGTTTACAGCAAGTTCGCAAAACTAGAAGTGAGGTTATGATGTTTCCCTAAAGTAACTTTTCATTTTTAATAATAAAATGAGTTGTCCTTGCCATTTTTCGTGGGAAAGTCCTCAAAGTTGTAAATATTTGCTCAAGACCAAAATATCATAGGTGGTGCTTATCTCCCATACATGCATGCACCCACATACACGTGCAATATACTAGAAGATCATACAGTTCAAAACTGACAAAAGCTGGTAACGAAATGGCGTCGTCAGTTAACATCGACGTCAGGCCGGGTTGAACTAGTTGCCGAACATTGTAGAATTAATGAGGAATCGAACATGATTTATAAAAAAAGACTGCTTAGAACTATTTGATTTTGCTCTAATTCGTTCATTCGGCAAAATTTCCCGTTAAGGCTCAGAAAGTGATCACCCGATGCTTATGAAACTTAAATTAAGTAGTCATGTGGAACCGGTCAGGGGAGATCACTCTACATGCCGATTCTCCGCCCGTTTCTAGCAAGTTTGGGGGGAGAAAATAGCCACTGCACCGCTTTGGAAGGTCATTCGTATCAAAATGGCTGCAATGTTGAAAAACGTGCGGCTTGCCGTCTCTTTGAATCGTCTGTGCCTCAGAAGTCAGATATGTAAACTTACGACAGCAGCTTATTCACACAAATATCATTGGAGAATATCTACAAATTCCAATACGCAGAGTATCCTGTCTAACACGAAGGTGAAGTTCACGATCACCGGCCATGAATGTTTGCTCTATGCTCAGCGGCTTGTACAGACTTACATGATAAAATTAGCTTGAAATACATGTCTACATATATATATATATGTGTTTCAAGCTAATTTTATCATATAAGTTTATACAAGCCCATGTGCTTTATGTAAAACGTATTGTGTAAAGATATCAAATCCATATATGAAGGATCATTAGATATTGTACATATAACATGCATACTGTATTGTTTCACTTCACTGTGTAACCATTTTCGCCTAGTAATTTATTTCTTTTTTTCTTTTCTAATGAAATGTCATTGGGTGCAACTTCAGCAGTATACCCTGTATGTACCGGCCGGAGTCAGGGACACGAGAAGAATTACAAGTCCTTTGGACTGATTTGTTGGGAAAATCGTGACCTTAGATTAGATCAACGCTAACCAAAATGTCACTTCTTCATTTCTACAATTTTGCATGTACTGCATCGTGGTACAAACAACAAGAGCATAGATGCATCGAAAATTAAAATTTCAGTTTTTGTTACAATGTAGAAAAAGGTGTCAACCTCTGAAACCTCCAATGACGGAGGTCTCCCTCATTTGATCTCAAATGAGGGGTAAAGTGTAAAAAATTATCGGTGCTTTTTTGTCCGGTGAGGAAGTGTTCACCGCACAAATGTCACATTGTTGAGCATATAAGTAATTAATATAAAATTTGAAAAAAATTGGTTAAATAATCTTCACCCTCATAGATTTTTTTTTATATAATGCTACTTTGCATCTAGATTCTAGATGCAAAGGTGTTCTAGATTCTCAGAAGATATGTAAAATTTTATATTAATTTATCTTTTTATTACTGATGCTAACTAAAAATATTTGACTAAAACAAAATGACATCAATTTGTATCATGAAATTTTATTCAATCATGGATATCATTTTAAAGTGCATTTATGTGTTTATAAGATTGGAATGGGTTAAAGAATATTTAGAATAAAGAATTATAAAAGAAAAAAGTTGAAATAATAAAGCTAAAAATCTGGATTTGCGCTCCAGCCATTGGATTCTACTTCACTACTGGAAGTTGTTACACTTAGCTTGTATTTCACAGATTGCAGCCACTACTCTGAGGTATTGTTCATCCAGGGTTTCAATTACAAAAGAAGAAATCCAAGAAAGAGTGCTGAATGTTATCCAGGCATATGATTCAATTAATGCAGACAAGGTACTTACTTTTGTTTCACACTTATGCATTACAGGTGAATAGTTTCCCTTTGGTCAGGACATACGGCAAGAGTGGTCCTCCCCTTACATTGAAACTCATCGAGGAAAGAATATTACTCACTCTCAAGCTCTATGATAAAATTAATCCAGAAAAGGTAATTAATTGGTTTGCTTAAATAAATGCCTGACTCTGATCTGGCTTCAGGCAATAAACATTTCATCAGAATTTTTCAATTAGGATTTGGATTCTGGTGTCGGGCAATGAAATGTCTGTACACATAATTTACTTAAATATATTCAGAAGATACCACAGTTAATTCTTAGATTCCGAAGTTGATTCTAAGAAAAGTTTATGATAGTGTCGGCGCTGTTTTTAATTTAAAATGTAGATGTACGTTTTGACATTAGAGCTAGAATAGATGTTTATGTATTATTGTGAATGTTGTATATATAAAGCCAGCTTTATCATTTGATATGCAAAGCAAGGGGTATTGTGACTTTCTAACCTTTTTTTTAAATTTTATTTGCAGCTTGAACTTAATTCACATTTTATGAATGATCTTGGACTTGACAGTTTGGATCATGTGGAGATCATTATGGCTGTCGAAGATGAATTTGGTAGGTTTTTCTACATTTTGTACCATATCGTAACCTGCATGTCATTTCACTTCAACCAAATTAGTCATTTCTGTAGCATATCTCTTAAAATGATTGAATACATTTGAAAACACTACAATTACAAACATGTACAGTAAAACGCCGTTATAATTCACCCATTAAACCGCCTAATCCGCATACCGCCATTAATTTACTCAGAACAGATTTCCCCAAACGTTAATGCACCTGTTGTAACGCAAAACATGCATACCGCCATCCCCCATCATATTCCAAAAACAAATGGTTAAAATCACACTATTTTGACCTCGTTAAATACTGTCAATTTGAGTAAAGTACAGGTATAACCTGTGAGGAATGTTACGTACATGTGTAAACATCATTATTTGTGTGTGAAACTTCTATACATATTGTGAATATGTTTTGGGCGCTCAACAATTTGATGCATTAAATTACAATTTTAAAGAAAAAAACGTATTCTGAAGTTTATCATTATTTTTTAAAATCATAAGTTCAGTTGGTGTGTGAACATTTGGGTTCAAAAACAGTAAACCCGATATACTGCCAAACTTGTTATAACGCCAAAATCACAGAGGACAGAAGGTAGCGGTATAACAAGGTTTTACTGTACATTGTTTGACTAAACTCAAATTATTATAATACTTAATCTCCACAAAACTAATGTAAATGTTCTTTTTACCTTGAGAATGAAAATATTCAGTTTATATTTAAGTTGGTGTAGTTCTCTTCGTATGTTTATATTCTGTTTTCTGATTTTCTATTTCAGGTTTTGAAATTCCTGATGTAGATTCTGAACGACTGCTAACCCCACAAGATATAATTCGTTATGTAGCAGACAAGGAGGATGTTTATGATTGAACAAGATTTTTCCCTAGGTAATTAAACAATTCTAACATTTCCTGTATTATCATTAGAAATTCATAAAGTTTCATTATTTCAATGTTTCGTACACTAATAAGTGAAGATACCTGGTCAAGGGTTATGTCCTAACCATCAGACCTCAGTCCTAAGTATCTTCTGTCCCTACCACCAAACCTCAGTCCTAAGTATCTTCTGTGCCTACCACCAGACCTCAGTCCTAAGTATCTTCTGTCCCTACCACCAGACCTCAGTCCTAAGTATCTTCTGTCCCTACCACCAGACCTCGGTCCTAAGTATTTTCTGTCCCTACCACCAGACCTCAGTCCTAAGTATCTTCTGTCCTTACCACCAGACCTCAGTCCTAAGTATCTTCTGTCCCTACCATCAAACCTCAGTCCTAAGTATCTTCTGCTCTACTGCCAAGCTATAGTCTGAGTAGCTATGATCTGTCACTACTAAATGTGTAACAATTCATCAGTGAATCACATCTTCAGTGCCGATGCATCATGGCATTCACAAATATAATTCAATTGTGATACTTTAAAACATGGCCATTAAGCTGATACGGCTTCAGGTGGAAAGGCCAGAGTGTTCACTCAAGTCTAAAGCAGTTATCTCCGAGTCCTCATTGCCTGGTCAATTGATGATTAATTTTAAGAAAGTACTGTATAATACCGGTACTTGAAAAATAAAAACTTGATACAGCTATTATGAACTAGTTTACTCATATTGGATTGTGTAACAAAGGGGAACTTCTATATTTCTGATTAAAAACCAAGTTTTTGTTTTTGAGAGAAGATGGGGGCTGTTCAAATCTTTAATAAAATGTACTGCCACAATATTTAACACAGTTTTAGGGGAAATTAAACACTGTTAATTTAAATCAGACATAAGAAACTTTTAAAATGAAGTAAATGTATAAGATGATATCTTTTCATAAATGACTTTGCCTTGTTTTTTATGCATCATTATTATGCAGCAGCTTTCAAATATTTCATTTTTAATGTATTGTAAATGTGGAATAAATTTAGAGCTACAAATCAGTAATTTAATGTACCAAACCCATGTACCATATTACAAATTATGTAGAATATTTTGATAATTAAAATGCTGAAACTGTACACATAAGGAAAAGTGTTTTGGTTCAAATTAACTAAAATGTTGGTATATATATACAGTACTTACTGAAAGTGAGAAACATTCCGAGTCCCATCTACATGTACATGATGCCCCTGAGCCTCCTTTTACTAACGTAATGGTTTGTTGTTGTGTCCACCTCAGACATCCATTGAAAATAAGACTAATCAGCTTTAAATCAATTTTAGGGAGAACCCTGGAGCCCTTCTAGAGTGGTGATTGAGAAGGGGGCATCAGTTAGCCTGCTGCAGAATTTATTATTTATCTTGGAAGTTTTTGCATTGTATCGTCAGTTTTATGATGACAAGTTTCTGAAGACTTTAAAGGATTTTTTCTATTGTCTAAAGGTCATGAATAATAAAATTTTAATGAAATTTGAAATAGCTGAATTTGTTTCTGTTTCAGACACTAGATGAGAGAAGCATGCAGCTGTGTAGAGTACCATCGGAACAATTAACACAAGAGACTTGATATAACAGACTGATCACTGTGTTTTTCCTTCTTTTTGTGAAGGATTTGTGTGAATTTTATTGGGATCACAGTAAAACTCTTAAATTGATATTGAAAGTTGAATCTGCCTCTGAAATGGATGAGTGACAGAACGTGGGGCTAAAGGACTTTTCACGAGTGTTTATAATGTATGCATCAGTATAATTATGAATTAAATCTGTTGAGAGTAGGAAGCATGTTTTTTGTTATGTTTCAAGGTAGAGTTCTCAAATTTCTCAATTTACGTAAATCTCATACTGGGTTACTGGGTACTTGCTAAATTTTATGATGGTTTAAATGAAGTCTCGGGTGTATTTTCATTAAATAAGGCTTATCGGAAAACCCCATTTTTATTTTATACTGCAAAAAAAAACCAAGCACAAATAAGCTTGAGTTAACTTTGACTTCTTTGAATAGTATAAGAGTGAATGTGATACAAACAGCTTTGTCCATTGTTAATAAAAAGGATTTGGTTCTTGATTTGTCTTCAAGTTGTTATCTCATACCTTCTTAACTGTTCATAGGTTATCTTCAGTCTTTGCTTGCCGAACCAAAAATCTGCACAATGTGAATATTTTCAAAACTCCACAAAATTCAACTTGTAACCACAGGCCTTTTTTTTTTTGATTTGTCCTCTCCTTACAAAGTTACTTGTGACCGTATCTAGTTGTAGCAGAATATAACGGGGATACTCCAAGTAATGTAGTACAATGTATCAACAGAATATAACAGGGATACTCGGAGTAATGCAATATCAACAGAGTATAACGGGGATACTCGGAGTAATGCAATATCAACAAAATATAACGGGGATACTCGGAGTAATACAATATCAAGAGAATATAACGGGGATACTCGGAGTAATGCAATAGCAACAGAATATAACGGGGATACTCGGAGTAATGCAATATCAACCGAATATAACGGGGATACTCGGAGTAATGCAATATCAACAGAATATAGCGGGGATACTCGGAGTAATGCAATATCAACAAAATATAACGGGGATACTCGAGTAATGCAATATCAACAAAATATAACAGGGATACTCTAGTAGTACAATGTATCAACAGAATATAACGGGGATACTCCAAGTAATGTAGTACAATGTATCAACAGAATATAACAGGGATACTCTATTAGTACAATGTATCAACAGAATATAACGGGGATACTCCGAGTAATGTAGTACAATGTATCACCAGAATATAACGGGGATACTCTAGTATTGTAGTACAATGTATCAACAGAATATAACGGGGATTCTCCGAGTAATGTAGTACAATGTATCAACAGGATACTCGAGTAATGCAATATCAACAAAATATAATGGGGATACTCGAGTAATGCAATATCAACAAAATATAACAGGGGATACTCGAGTAATGCAATATCAACAAAATATAATGGGGGTACTCGAGTAATGCAATATCAACAAAATATAACAGGGATACTCTAGTAGTACAATGTATCAACAGAATATAACGGGGATTCTCCGAGTAATGTAGTACAATGTATCAACAGAATATAACAGGGATACTCGGAGAAATGCAATATCAACAGAATATAACGGGGATACCCGGAGTAATGCAATATCAACAGAATATAACGGGGATGCTCGAGAAATACAATATCAACAGAATATAACGGGGATACCCGGAGTAATGCAATATCAACAGAATATAACGGGGATGCTCGAGAAATACAATATCAACAGAATATAACGGGGATACCCGGAGTAATGCAATATCAACAGAATATAACGGGGATACCCGGAGTAATGCAATATCAACAGAATATAACGGGGATGCTCGAGAAATACAATATCAACAGAATATAACGGGGATACCCGGAGTAATGCAATATCAACAGAATATAACGGGGATGCTCGAGAAATACAATATCAACAGAATATAACGGGGATACTCTAGTAGTACAATGTATCAACAGAATATAACGGGGATTCTCCGAGTAATGTAGTACAATGTATCAACAGGATACTCGAGTAATGCAATATCAACAAAATATAATGGGGATACTCGAGTGATGCAATATCAACAAAATATAACGGGGGATACTCGAGTAATGCAATATCAACAAAATATAACAGGGGATACTCGAGTAATGCAATCTCAACAAAATATAATGGGGATACTCGAGTGATGCAATATCAACAAAATATAACGGGGGATACTCGAGTAATGCAATATCAACAAAATATAACAGGGATACTCTAGTAGTACAATGTATCAACAGAATATAACGGGGATTCTCCGAGTAATGTAGTACAATGTATCAACAGAATATAACGGGGATTCTCCGAGTAATGTAGTACAATGTATCAACAGGATACTCGAGTAATGCAATATCAACAAAATATAACAGGGATACTCTAGTAGTACAATGTATCAACAGAATATAACGGGGATTCTCCGAGTAATGTAGTACAATGTATCAACAGGATACTCGAGTAATGCAATATCAACAAAATATAATGGGGGTACTCGAGTAATGCAATATCAACAAAATATAACAGGGGATACTCGAGTAATGCAATATCAACAAAATATAATGGGGATACTCGAGTGATGCAATATCAACAAAATATAACGGGGGATACTCGAGTAATGCAATATCAACAAAATATAATGGGGATACTCGAGTAATGCAATATCAACAAAATATAACGGGGGATACTCGAGTAATGCAATATCAACAAAATATAACGGGGATACTCTAGTAATGCAATATCAACAAAATATAACGGGGATACTCGGAGTAATACAATATCAAGAGAATATAACGGGGATACTCGGAGTAATGCAATATCAACGGAATATAATGGGGATACTCGAGTAATACAATATCAACAGAATATTACGGGGATACTCGAGTAATGCAATATCAACAGAATATAACAGGGATACTCGGAGAAATGCAATATCAACAGAATATAACGGGGATACCCGGAGTAATGCAATATCAACAGAATATAACGGGGATGCTCGAGAAATACAATATCAACAGAATATAACGGGGATACCCGGAGTAATGCAATATCAACAGAATATAACGGGGATGCTCGAGAAATACAATATCAACAGAATATAACGGGGATACCCGGAGTAATGCAATATCAACAGAATATAACGGGGATACCCGGAGTAATGCAATATCAACAGAATATAACGGGGATGCTCGAGAAATACAATATCAACAGAATATAACGGGGATACTCTAGTAGTACAATGTATCAACAGAATATAACGGGGATACTCGAGTAATGCAATATCAACAAAATATAACAGGGGATACTCGAGTAATGCAATATCAACAAAATATAATGGGGATACTCGAGTAATGCAATATCAACAGAATATAACAGGGATACTCGAGTAATGCAATATCAACTGAATATAACGGGGATACTCCGAGTAATGTAGTACAATGTATCAACAGAATATAACGGGGATACTCTAGTAGTACAATGTATCAACAGAATATAACGGGGATACTCCGAGTAATGTAGTACAATGTATCAACAGAATATAACGGGGATACTCTAGTAATGTAGTACAATGTATCAACAGAATATAACGGGGATACTCTAGTAATGTAGTACAATGTATCAACAGAATATAACGGGGATACTCTAGTAATGTAGTACAATGTATCAACAGAATATAACGGGGATACTCTAGTAATGTAGTACAATGTATCAACAGAATATAACGGGGATACTCTAGTAATGTAGTACAATGTATCAACAGAATATAACGGGGATACTCTAGTAATGTAGTACAATGTATCAACAGAATATAACGGGGATACTCTAGTAATGTAGTACAATGTATCAACAGAATATAACGGGGATACTCTAGTAATGTAGTACAATGTATCAACAGAATATAACGGGGATACTCTAGTAATGTAGTACAATGTATCAACAGAATATAACGGGGATACTCTAGTAATGTAGTACAATGTATCAACAGAATATAACGGGGATACTCTAGTAATGCAGTACAATGTATCAACAGAATATAACGGGGATACTCCGAGTAATGTAGTACAATGTATCAACAGAATATAACGGGGATACTCGAGTAATGTAGTACAATGTATCAACAGAATATAACGGGGATACTCTAGTAATGTAGTACAATGTATCAACAGAATATAACGGGGATACTCTAGTAATGTAGTACAATGTATCAACAGAATATAACGGGGATACTCTAGTAATGTAGTACAATGTATCAACAGAATATAACGGGGATACTCTAGTAATGCAGTACAATGTATCAACAGAATATAACGGGGATACTCCGAGTAATGTAGTACAATGTATCAACAGAATATAACGGGGATACTCGAGTAATGTAGTACAATGTATCAACAGAATATAACGGGGATACTCTAGTAATGTAGTACAATGTATCAACAGAATATAACGGGGATACTCTAGTAATGCAGTACAATGTATCAACAGAATATAACGGGGATACTCCGAGTAATGTAGTACAATGTATCAACAGAATATAACGGGGATACTCTAGTAATGTAGTACAATGTATCAACAGAATATAACGGGGATACTCTAGTAATGCAGTACAATGTATCAACAGAATATAACGGGGATACTCCGAGTAATGTAGTACAATGTATCAACAGAATATAACGGGGATACTCGAGTAATGTAGTACAATGTATCAACAGAATATAACGGGGATACTCTAGTAATGTAGTACAATGTATCAACAGAATATAACGGGGATACTCTAGTAATGCAGTACAATGTATCAACAGAATATAACGGGGATACTCCGAGTAATGTAGTACAATGTATCAACAGAATATAACGGGGATACTCTAGTAATGTAGTACAATGTATCAACAGAATATAACGGGGATACTCTAGTAATGCAATATCAACAGAATATAACGGGGATACTCGAGTAATACAATATCAACAGAATATAACGGGGATACTCGAGTAATGCAATATCAACAGAATATAACGGGGATACTCGGAGTAATGCAATATCAACAGAATATAACGGGGATACTCAGAGTAATGCAATATCAACAGAATATAACGGGGATACTCGGAGTAATGCAATATCAACAGAATATAACGGGGATACTCGAGTAATGCAATATCAACAGAATATAACGGGGATACTCAGAGTAATGCAATATCAACAGAATATAACGGGGATACTCGGAGTAATGCAATATCAACAGAATATAACGGGGATACTCAGAGTAAAGCAATATCAACAGAATATAACGGGGATACCCGGAGTAATGCAATATCAACAGAATTTAACGGGGATACTCGGAGTAATGCAATATCATCAAAATATAACGGAGATACTCGGAGTAATACAATATCAACAGAATATAACTGGGATACTCAGAGTAATGTAATATCAACAGAATATAACGGGGATACTCGGAGTAATGCAATATCAACTGCTAACGGCCGTTATTTTTCCAGCAAACATAAAACCCTTATACCTGAAACCACCTTTCATTCAAGTCTGTGAAATGAGATTGCCTTGTCTTTGGTCTCCTATTGAGGACATCACTCCTGATAGCTGGTACAATGCATTAAAAGGTTCTTTTGTTCTATAGGTGTATGATATATGACAGGACTGAGGTATGTGTCTTGGATGGAGTTTTATAAAATTAAATCATATCAATCATATGATCTAATCAGAGATAGAAATACCTATGCATTTTACACATTTCAAGAATTCAAACAGATTTATGATATTAATACAAACTTTTTACGAGTATATTATACGAGGCGATAGGTCAAAAGTAGGTGTTAACTATCCATTCATACCAATTAATATAGAAATGATTTTGAAAAATAAAAAGGGGATATGAGATTTTTAAAGCTTATTTTGTAAAAATGATACTATTTCAACAGCTAAAAAAAATGGAATGATATATTATAATTCGATGATGAAATTTGGAAAAAAATATTTAAAATGTCATTTAAAATTACGAAAAATACCAAATTACAGTGATTTCAGTACAGAATTAATCAGCACATTTTGACAACTAATGCATATTTGTTTAAGGCAGGAATAGTAGACAGTTCTTTCTGTGAACTGTGTAACATAGAAATAGGCACACTAGAGCATGTATTATGGGAATGTGACGAAGTACAAAATCTTTTACAACATGTTAAGTTCTTAATAGATGCGAAACTTTGGTTTGTCGGGCAATCTCCTCCTACATTTTTCGACTGATCTCTTTGAAACTTGGTATACATTATAATCATGATATGAAGTTGTCTCCCTGAAAAGAATTTTGATTGGACAATTTTTGCAAAAGTTATTGCCTTTGTTCATTTCAGTATTTGATTTTTTGTCCGGAGATCTCCTACATTTTTTGACGGATTTCTTTGAAACTAAGCAGACTAAGTGATCATGATATGTTGTTGTGTTTCCTTGAAAAGAATTTTGATTCAAAATTTTTTGCAAAAGTTATTGCCCTGATATTATCTAAACCTAAATTTTGCCGATTATATGTTTGATCTTATTTAAATTTATTTGAAAAAAAAAAGAGACAATATTGAAACTTTTTATCTTTAATTACTTAGCTACTGACACTTATATATTACCAGAATTCTATCCTTTACATTGGTTTGTTTAATACTGGTACTTCTCTTGTCTGTCTTTCTTTCTGTCCATTTACCTGTCTTTATTTCTTCTATTTCTTTGTTTTCTTATTTCTCTTATCTGATTTTCCTTCCTTTCTAATATAACATTACAAAAAATAAAATGCCACTTACAAAAAGAGCAATATTAATTAGTATGAAAGTATGGGTGAAAGTGGAATTCATTATGTATAATGAAATGTATATGTTATTGTAATGTGAAAAAAAATTCAAAAAAATCAATGGCCTTGACCTACTTTCAAGGTCGCTTGCATAAAACCTGTTAAATACATGAAATGACACAATAACTGAAGAATCATTATGTCTAGAACCACTATACTTTGACACATTTTGAAGATCAGTAGTGAAAACACTTTTCTTTGTTAGGATCTTTACTTGGAAACAGTGGAGATACCACCCATTATACAACCATTCATATGTCTGCTTGGCATGAAGAAAAGAACTCAAGCCTGTTACCAGGATCTAGCCCCAACCCTGGTGACTTATTCTCAGGTCATTACTTAGAAACAATCAAGATCCCAACCCTTGTAACCAGACATGCATAGGGATCTCAGCAAAATTGTCCATGAAGCATTCTTGGAACCAGAGAGAAGGCTGAAATGGGAAAACATTTACTACTTTCAATGAGAAATATTGCCATGATTGTTTAAATATCCAAATGAGTGATACAGGGCCTCTTATTATACTTCTCTATTCTTTTGCGAGGATGAGCCTTTCACATTGTGAGGATGTGGAAGAACCATAAGCAGTACATGGCAAAATGGTCGAAAAAGTTCAAACTGATTTTTGTAAGAAAAAATATCTGTATGCAAGACTTCATCACATGCTTAGTTATATTTTGAATTACAAAGATTAGCTATGTATGTGACACGAATAAGTAAAATTGTAAAATATTGGCTGAAGCTCCTCGGATCAAATAATTGTATCTTAACTTCATGTTACAAAGCATCATTTGATGACTGTATGTCGGGTAATGTTAATTGGGTAACAAATGTAAAAGAGCTTCCATTTACTTAAGGTTTTGCTGAGATATGGTATGCTCAGAATATATTTAATGAAGACTTGTTTATATCTGAACTCGCACGAAGAGTAAAAGATTGTTTCGTACAAAACACTTTAATGCATTTTACCACTTCCTCAAAGTGTTATATTTACAAGCACTTAGAAGATACTTTAAATTGCAATATTATTTAAGTAATTCTGGTCTGATAAATATAAGAAAATTATTTGTAAATACAGGCTTTCATCAGTCTAAATATTGAAATGGAAGATATATTAATTTGGCACATGTCTGTTATTATGTTGTAAAACTCCTATAAGCTGTACTGCATTTGAAATACACTGAATTGAATATAAACAATATGTCTCTTCATTTGAAATGAGATAATAACATGTATGCTAATTATTCAGGCATCAAATTACTTTAAATGACTTTTTCTATTTCTTTAATCCAGAGTATTGATCTGCCCAAAAAATTGTTGAGAGTACATATCAATGAGTCTATATACAGCTACTGGTGTTATGTCTGGTTTAGTATCACAATACATTCCTTCTGTATTGCAGTGTGTTGTGACACTCTCCAGGCGTAATGTGACACCCCTATTGAATATATTCAAACTTGGAATTGTCTACCAACAATGTGTATATTTTTCACATAATTGAAATACGTTACCTTACATGGGGGAAGAGGTTTAAGCTAAGAAGAAAAAAAAATCAAACTACAATTTTAGCAAGTATTATCATTTTATTACATAAAGAGCTGAAATTTTAACATTTGTATGTTACACGTGATATTATTTATCTACACAATCTCCCCAATGATTGTTGAAAGCAATACTTATATGTCTGGCATAGTGCTAACACTGCATTCCATGGAAAAGACAATCACTTAATGTATGCTAGCTTAACCATAACCTACTACCGTATCGCCAAAGTGTTTCCAACAAAAACGTTATCAAAAGGAAAACAGAAAACACAGCGTCTTACTAGTCATCAGAACAGCTGCAAAAGGTGTAAAATTATATCATTTGTAAGAAATAAAGCATAAATCTCAATTTATTTAATACAGTGCCATATGTTCAGCTAAAATTTGTCACTATAAATTATCAATCTTTGTATATTGGGAAACTTTTGCCTCATTAAACTTTCACCTTTCACAGATTAATTTGTAAGTTTGCCTAAAGTTAATGTCACTCATCACGTGAAATAAGTACCTATGTTGTTGACTAATTTTTGCTGTCAGGATAAATTAACCCCGTCTACAGGGGGAGACAAAATGGAAAGTTAAACTACGGTGAACATTTCACGGTATACGGTAAACATAAAAATTGCTGCTGACTTGTTAGTAAGTTACAATAATGCCACTACAAATGATTCAATACAGTGTTGCTGATAACGACTTGTTGGTATCGAAGTAATTCTACGCAGCAGTTATACTGTCAGGGTGTTGGATTTGTCAAGACTGCAACATCTGCAGAGTTGAGGCAAATCTCTTACCATAAACATATACAAGCACCAATAAAATGTACAACTAAAACACTGATGTAGCTCTTATTAAATTAATACTTTGTTAGGCTAAGATTTTATTAACATAGAGATGGATTAGGAATCTCTATACCAACTATATATGATCAAAATCTGTCACTGTTCCAGCAACAAGTCTAGGAAGTAGCCCTTGTAAACGTAGCAGACCTTGATGTGATACAGAACATTGATTAGGATTAGTTACAACTTCTCTGTATATCAGTACCAGTACATATGTCCCAATATATTCCATTAACATCATCATTAGAGGTTTACAATTATTTCTGTCGCCCTCCTTGGTTAGCGTTATGGGTGGACAGGTTGCCCCTCTTTATGCTATAATACAGAACTAAAGTATATCATTTACTTTAAAACACCTGAATATTCTAGTAACGCACATTGAGCATAAGATAGAAAACCAGTTTGTCATTCATAAGTACAACTGATGTCAGGTTCTGATACCTGAAACTGCCACCAAAATTCATTTTTATACTGACAATCTTAACAAGATTTTGTACGAGACACATAGGTTTGAATACCACTACACACAGTCACGAGAAAGATTGGAAGAACAGCTGGAGAAATGTATACCTTGGGAACAGAAACGATGAAAAGAAAACTCATCTCCAGGACGAAAAAGAAGACAATACATGGCTTGCTTTTAATTAAACCTTATAAAGCTATATAGTATTATAATCACATATACACTAGTACAAACTATACAAACACATTATACACCTTTAGTGCGGTATATAGCTAGTGTAAAACCAAGCACTTTAATAAAACAATGGCTGAACAGCACACATGAAACAACTGAAATGGGTCTTACACAGCAGCTGTTAACTAATGCCAACTCACTTCATGGAAACCTTCCCATGTATCTATCATTTCATACACCTGTACAGAAAAAATCAGAATGCTTGCAAAGCATTTTTTTTTTCTGAGAATTTTCAAAAGATTTCAAGTGGCTCTTTACAACTTTGACTGCTGTACTTGTCCGAAGTCTGTATATAGATTATATAATAGGTGTTCCATCGATAGAACAATTCATATTATTTAAAGTAATTCAAAATACCCAAAAGTGTAGATGTTATTAATAATATATCTGTGCCAAAGAACATTACTCAAACAAAAATACAGTGAGTGTGTTTAAACTAAACTTGAATATCACATGCAATAACAAAAACAGAAAGTGTATTACATTATTGTTGTATTTTTTTGCATTTTCCTCGACAAGAAACGCACAATGCATCAGACGATTATCAGTTTTTTGTGGATTTTTTTTAGATAAAATGAGCATTGTTGACCTTCAATGTATGAACAAGTAATTTGAAAATATAATAACAAGTATATTCTGACCACATTCATATATATGTATGCTGTTCACTCTCTAACATCTTCACCACAATTTAACATGCACAATGTAAATATAGTGGTACACGCCATGTACTTTTATAATCTAATAAAAGTTTATTCATATATATAATGTAAGAGATGCAAGAGATTTTATAGGACAAAAATTAAATTTAAAAAGTAAAATTTTATTTACAAAGTGAAACATAACAAGTAGAGAGTCTATCTATATATCTAAAACATCAGTCAGATGAATAAATGGAATCAAAATAAGTATGAATATATGTCGAAATCCCCTTTCTTCAAATATGTTTGTGTTTGCAACAATGAAGCAGAAATGTTATATGCTAAGCAGGTTTAGAACATCACTTTAAAGGGAGAAGTGGCAGTAACAAAAGATGTACAGTAAGGGGGATAACTTTAACACACAAATCTATATTGTATGAAAGGCCACCAACTGCCCAAACACTACATAAAAAAGGGCACAACTGAAGCTGTGCTAAAAGACATAAATTAATTTTATTAATCACATACAAAATTAATGCCAGTCAATATAAATTTCATAAAAAGACAATACTTTTGCTTCTAAAAATCTAGGATTTGTTTTTGATATATGTGTTCCAAATTGATATCATGTCATTAATCATGCATGTTATAATTGATACATCTTTAGATTGTATCTATGGCTACCAAAGGAACATAGTTCAGACTAAAATACAAACTGTTGTTAAGCTTCCAATAAAAATCATTTTTCTGGATGAAGACATCATAGAATAAGATGTGCTTAGCACAAACTACATCTATGAAATAAGCAGATTTAAAAAAAACACAGAACTATGAATGAAATGTTAATGGGTTTGCTAAACAGAAAGAACACTGATAAAAGATAGCGATTTCAAAGAAATATTGTGAGCAAACCTATGATCTAACAAAGAGTAGCAGCACACTTATATGAAAGCTGAGCTTACAGCCAGGACAGAAGGACACTTAAACATTGTTTGCAGATCCACAACATGTACGACAATTAACGCTGTTATGTTAATCCCGGAGAGCTCTCCACTCATCATCATACAAGTCCTACATTTCAACTCCTACCAAGGCAAGTTAACTTTCATTGCATACAATGCTGCATATTATATGTCTCATACTTGTGATTACATCTTATATATAAAACTGGTACAGGATTTATACAGGTTTTACCATACAGCTGCTGATGAACCAGTTATACATCAGGCATGTTGTTGATGCAAATTTATTAATAATTTTCAAATTTTGCTCATCCATGTAACCATAATATATCTTCTGGTTTCCTTTCCTTGAACTTTGTATCCTATTTGATAACAGGGTATGAAACAATGGAGGTTCACACTCTTCTTCAAACTCATTTTGTTTTCAGTTTATGTTTTGATATCCCTCCCTTATAATTCTTTGAAATAAATGTTTATGTAATTAAAGGAGTATACATTTCTTTTTGTTTTTCGGCTTCGGCTTTGGACATAAGACAGCTCGGATGGCCTCGTCAAACACTGTTTTGAGGCCTTTCTGGGTGAGAGCTGAACATTCGAGGTACTTGACAGAGCTGATTTCCTTGGCCATGGCCAAGCCCTGAGGGTAGGTGATTGGCGACAACTTTTTCTCTTTCAGTTTCTCAATGGTCTCCTTATCTTCCCTCAAGTCAAGCTTTGTTCCAACCAAGATGATGGGAGTGTTCGGACAGTGATGACTGACTTCTGGGTACCACTAAAACATAAGACATATTGTCAGTCAATTATGTATCTTTCCAATTTTGTCAATGTACACTTTGACTGTAATAGGGAAATTTCAACGAAATAAGTCTGCCAATACATGTTTGTAAAGTTGGATACATTTCTTACCAGAAGATGACCTCTGACCTTTAATTAAAACAGACTTACAGCTTTCCCCTCCAGGTATTGGCATAGAGTAACCCCCCCTATACATCCAGGATACTTAAATAGGGACTAAGGTTTTGGAAATGGATTATTGTTCTGGGAATCAAAAATGTTTTCACAGTATCTTTTATGTGTTTGAACATTAACTACACCTGTTCCTTAGCAAAATTATGAATCAAAGACAACAAATTTTCTTCATCCGAGATAGCAAGGAAAATCACTAAGATACAACATGTCAGGAATATAACATACAGTCTATCTTAAACAATCAATCTTCATACATTTAATGAAATATTGTTTACTTTATACAGTCAATGAAACACAGTCAAAGATTTCAATTTCAAATACAATATTTAGACAGTTGCGAATTTAAACATTAATAGTGAATAAGATTTAACTTACCTTTGCTCGCACATTTTCAAAACTTGCTGGACTTATAAGGGAGAAACAGATCAGAAAGACATCCTGCAAAAAGTAAGGTGAACAATATTTTTAATGCGATTTAAATTTCAAGTAAACAATTTCAAATATGAATTACAATCAAACACAGTTGGATAGGAATGAATCATAGTTGAATTTATGTAGTAAACATCCACTTCTTAACAAAAACTAGGGTAGGCACTCAATGAAATACCATGCTAAGGAAAACATTGGCTATAGTAATCAATGTATATTGACCCAGTAACTATAACTGATACAGAAATGTATTGAAAAAGTTAAAAATGTAATTAAATTCATGCATAGTAAAAAGTGTTCTATGACTTACTGTCTGGGGGTAGGACAATGGCCGTAGTCGGTCGTAGTCCTCTTGTCCTGCTGTATCCCAGAGTCCCAAGTTAATGGGTTTACCATCCACCATTACATTGGCAGAATAGTTGTCAAATCTGCAAACAAACACACAACACGTGTAATGGCTAGAATAGAGGTATTAATTAGCATGGAAGTTTGATATTCTGTTTACCACTGCTGACAGATATGTACATATAAGTGTACCCTGATTTATCAGTAATAAGAAATGTTAAGGTATTAAAAGCATTGTAATCTCAATAATTAATTTTGTTTTGACAAATAAAAAAGAACCTGAACACATTTACCCTACAAACAATAATCTAACAGCTGCATAAATCTGCAAGGGAATAATTTGTATACTGGTACATTTGATTTGCAGTCATGTATTAACCTTTGGCCTGCTGTTAAAAAGTACACCTTAAAACCCTATTGCACTGTGTATGGTAATTTTCCAAGGTGTTTCTAGTCAAAACTGAGGTGGCTAAACAGATGTGTATAACTGACCGAGGCATGTGCTGGCCTATCGCTGATCTGCTGTGCACTATATGCAGCTGTGTTTGAGTGTAGCTGTATGAGATTCAGCTGTTTCTAACATAACCAAGTGGGTATTAGTTTGATTGGAAGCTTGTTTCAGAAGATAGCGCTATAAAATATGCATACCCCATAGTGTAACTTAGAAGTTTGAATGAACTCAAATTTGCTTCATCAAAACATCAAACAAATCATTTAATGTCGTATGCATAAACTAAGGCTACAAAAATTTAATATGCAGTACAGTTATATTACCAAACATTACTACTACCAGTATACATGTACTTTCAAAACAGAGTAGTGGTTATATACTCCCTAATAAGCTTTATACACTGTAAATCTGTTTTCATGAACCTTTGACCTTAATTATTCACATAGAATTGTGTGATACACAACATTTACATTCAATACCTAGAAACTTTCAGCATCAATCCTTATATTTATGAAGACAATCGCTGCAGTTATCTGTCCCCTTGATATTATCTGATATGCCACACTGTCTTCTCATAATACATTAACCAAGTGTCATCAATGAATCAATGAATATTCAGGCTATAATTCATCCAATATTTAGGTCTATGTGATATACTGACCAGACTTGTGAAAAAACTCTTACCAAAAATAACAAGATAAACACAAATTCAAACACTGAATAATTTACAGATGCATGCCACACATATTTTACACACAGCAATATTTTACAAGAACCTGTCATCTTTTTCAAAATGCTCTCACTCTGGGGTTTTGGTATGTATTTCTTTGAAAACTATCTCCTAGTTTGTCTGGTTCTTTGAACCATTTTTTCAAAGCAGCAGCTATGCTGCAGGGAGGTTGAAAAATTGCATGGTAAATATGTAATCTGTGGCTGGTAAAAGATTTAGAATTTTGTTTAAAAAATATTTTAAAAGTAGTAAATCATTTAAGACTGAATGTATATTTTTAATATAGAGATAGTTATAAAGATTAAAATGTTTTTTGTAATTGATAGTTTATCGTTGTGACATTTTCTAAAATGTCCAGACGGTCAGTCTACCCCTTCCCTGCAGGTTCTCAATAAGACCTATAAATAGATTCCAGGACTAATTTTCACACTCATGCATCAGTGAATTATGATGATAGTGGGTAGGTTGTTTGATCATTAAGAAAATCATTATGAACTATAGAATCAACTTTAAATGTTAACAGGACAGGTATGAAGTTTCTTTTTATTTGAGATTCTTTCAGTTTTTATAAGATAAAAAAAATTGTATGAAAAAAATTTAAATGCTGATATTTAAAACTTGTACTGTGATATCTCATTGTTGACAATGATATTATCACAATAACCAGTATTTGGGATATTATTATAGGTTTCTTTAATTAGTCGAGTCTATCAGAGAATTAATCTTTGATTTGTTGCTATGACCTTGATGCTAAAGTTATATGACTTGTAATTTATATACCAGCTGTTATATCTCTGAAATTTTATCAATAAAATTTAACAGTTGAGTATGGTCCGGACAAACATGGTGTTGATCAGAGGTTTGATCTGTATGTTACTGTGACCTTGTCATTGAGGGTATGGACAGGTGTGTTACAGCTTTTTGTTTATTTTGACATAATCGATCATTGTTTGTGGGTACATTATTTCATTATGCATTGTAAGTATGACATCATCATTTTCTACATTGTGTTGTTGTCCTGTCAAAATGAGTATTTCCCCAAATAAAGCATTGACCCCCTGGAGAGCATTGACAGAGGTGAAAGGCTGGAAACAATGTACATGTAGGTAGATTGTGTCAATAGGTCTTTTTTTTACAATTCATACTACAATGTGCACACTGCATTACATTTTGACACACATTCACTCAAATAAGCAATTTCAAATCTCCGTCCAGTTAGAATATTCTAACTATTTAGATTGATTAAAATCATAAATAGATGACCAGTCACATTTATTTGATTCATTTTATTTAATGTCAACATATTAGTGAATACATTTTTATCAAAAAAATATACATATGTCTTTGTTTCTACATATGCACTGTAGTACGTATACATATATACATGTACTAGTTATTTCAGTAGTACATCTAAATAAAGTTATGTATAATTACGATATATATACATAAAACCCCCCAAAAAACCCATTATTACCACAAGTCATGTGTACCATGAAGACTTGAACAGATTATTATCTACAACATGTCTTTGTGTAAATACTTCAATCTTTGTGTACTTGTTAATACGTATATCAATAGATAAACTTCCTGATGGATTGTATAGTCGTAATACTATTATCATACAGCTAAGTCAAGGACTGTATAGTCGTATTTAGTAATATTATTATCATACAGCTAAGTCATGGATTGTATAGTCGTATTTAGTAATACTATTATCATACAGCTAAGTCTTCAGAATGAGCACATTACAATTGGAATTGTCAAACTTAAGCTTTCAGAAAAAGCACAATCAATATTGGACCACATATATGGTCATGTTACAGTAGAGCACACTCAATCTAGAAAACAGTAAATCTGTTGGTCCTACATAGTTCTATAGGTAGTCTAGCTATATAGGCACACTCAATCAAGAAAGCAGCAAATCTGTTGGTCCTACATAGTCCTATAGGTAGTAGCTTTATAGGCACTCAATCTAGAAAACAGTAAATCTGTTGTTCCCCATAGTCCTATAGGTGGTAGCTATATAGGCACTCCATCTAGAAAACAGTAAATCTGTTGGTCCTACATAGTCCTATAGGTAGTAGCTTTATAGACACTCAATCTAGAAAACAGTAAATCTGTTGGTCCTACATTGTCCTATAGGTAGTAGCTATATAGGCATACTCAATCTAGAAAACAGTAAATCTGTTGTTCCCCATAGTCCTATAGGGGGTAGCTATATAGGCACTCCATCTAGAAAACAGTAAATCTGTTGGTCCTACTTAGTCCTATAGGTAGTAGCTATATAGGCACTCAATCTAGAAAACAATAAATCTGTTGGTCCTACATAGTCCTATAGGTAGTAGCTATATAGGCACTCAATCTAGAAAACAGTAAATCTGTTTGTCCTTCATAGTCTTATAGGTAGTAGCTATATAGGCACTCAATCTAGAAAACAGTAAATCTGTTGGTCCTACATAGTCCTATAGGTAGTAGCTATATAGGCACTCAATCTAGAAAACAGTTAATCTGTTGTTCCCCATAGTCCTATAGGTGGTAGCTATATAGGCACTCAATCTAGAAAACAGTAAATCTGTTGGTCCTTCATAGTCTTATAGGTAGTAGCTATATAGGCATTCAATCTAGAAAGCAGTAAATTAAAGCTGTTGGTCCTACATAGTCCTATAGGTAGTAGCTTTATAGGCACACTCAATCTAGAAAGCAGTAAATCAGTTGGTCCTACATAGTCCTATAGGTAGTAGCTATATAGGCACACTCAATCTAGAAAGCAGTAAATCTGTTGGTCCTACCATGATACATAGTCCCTCAATCTAGAAAGCAGTCCAGCTGTTTGTCCTACATAGTCCTATAGGTAGTAGCTAGATATATAGGCACACTCAATCTAGAAAGCAGTAAATTAAATCTGTTGGTCCTACTTGTAGTATTTTAACTTAATCGCAATCAGAGCTTCTTGCATAGTATTTTAACTTAATCGCAATCAGAGCTCATCATTGCTACAATCATCTCGGATGTGCGACACAAACTGATAAAAACAGGAAGTAAATTTCAGGTCCAATTTATCTAGTATACAATATCATGTACATATATGTATATATGTTTCAAGATATGCATGGGTTTTATATGTATAGTCCAACAAACGAAAATGGTTCCTATAAGAACACTTCACAATTAATACAGAACAATAATGTTAATCAGTTTCCCTTCATATTTGATACATTTATGTACAAATAGAACTAAAACTGAATTGCTTTGAATATGAAATCTGTATACATTGACTACAGTGTGTTATATTTGACACCGGTTACTTCATCTTCACAAAAATATTAAATATAATTTGAACCAGAATACACACAACAATACAGTAAGCATTACTGGCACAGTATAATGTATAAATATAACACATGTTGGAAACCTCACATCTCTGGTAAACTGGCACAAGTATATATATGTGACCCTGTATTGTTCAGTGAAACGTCCAGGAAGTTTACATAACACCTGACTTATTCCATTAAATAACGAGCCCAACAACCATCATAACTCATGGTTCACTGAATCTGTACTGAAATCAGGTAGTGATTAGTATCCAGGTAATGGGGTAAAGTACAAGGCAAAAATATATAGTGTTCTACTAACAACCATCTCTCTGAAATATGACTAACTTGTACATAAATATCCTAGTATGGAATATATTTATCACTGTGGCCAGGACAGACAGGAACCGAACCCAGTGTCACAATAATGCAATATCAAGTTTTTAATTAATAGTTGCTTCTACTCATACTGAAAACATTTCACACTTTGATTTCCAATAATTGTATGTGTTTTCTTGAAAAGAGCTCTAACTCTCGACTTCACAGTGAAATTATATTGCAAATATTAATGATACCTTTGGAAGCATGGTCCCACTACAAACAGAACACAATACATCTCCAGCACACACATACAGGGAGATATAAGCCAGGTGGCATAGGACTAGTAGTTAGCGCCTGATAAGGCAGCTCCTGTGTGAATTCCTCAAAAATTGTATTGATTAATGTATATATGTATGCTAGTTGTATTAATTGTATATCTATGTACTGTGCTTTAGAATGGCTTATGTTAGCTAGATATAGGGTGCTATATCAAATGTTTTATATTGTTATTGTATATTATATTGCTGTGAAACACAATACATTGTACATGTGTACGTACCAGACAGCCATATATTCAGGAATGTGTGTTTTTGATGAAATAGTTTCTGATTATGTAGGAGACATGTCTTTGATGAAGTTAGTATTTGTGATGGAGTTGTTTAAGCATGGCTACTGATGACAAACAAATATAGATACATACTATATATTAAGCTTTACATTCTTGTATTAATTTTGTTCAATTTAAAGGCATCAAAGAGTTTTATTAATAAGCTGTTTTATAAATCATGATCATGACTTTAAAGATTGCTCTCCAATTAAATAAAAAATAATTTCAACTATCATAATTATCATAAACCAGCACAGACAAATAGGTTGAACTATTTGAAGTAATAGACATTATCTACATCATGTAAACATTATATTCCAGTGTCTGGACAACATCTAAAGGACATGTGGGGATGTACTCTCCTGGGAGGATATTCTATGAACTGGGATTTAGTGTTGAATACTTTCACTGTGGGGATGAACTAGGATTTAGTGTGGAATACTTACACTGTGGGGATGTACTCTGCCGGGAGGATATTATATGAACTGGGATTAATTATGGAATACTTTCACTGTGGGGATGTTCTCCTGGGAGGATATTCTGTGAACTGGGATTTAGTGTTGAATACTTTCACTGTGGGGATGAACTAGGATTTAGTGTGGAATACTTTCACTGTGGGGATGTACTCTCCCGGGAGGATATTATATGAACTGGGATTAAGTATGGAATACTTTCACTGTGGGGATGTACTCTCCCAGGAGGATATTATATGAACTGGGATAAAGTGTGGAATACTTTCACTGTGGGGATGTACTCTCCTGGGAGGATATTATATGAACTGGGATTTAGTGTGCAATCCTTTCACTGTGGGGATGTACTCTATTGTGAGGATATTACATGAACTAGGATTTAGTGTGGAATACTTTCACTGTGGGGATGTTCTCCTGGGAGAATATTCTATGAACTGGGATTTAGTGTTGAATACTTTCACTGTGGGGATGAACTACGATTTAGTGTGGAATACTTACACTGTGGGGATGTACTCTCCTGGGAGGATATTATATGAACTGGGATTAAGTGTGGAATACTTTCACTGTGGGGATGTTCTCCTGGGAGGATATTCTATGAACTGGGATTTAGTGTTGAATACTTTCACTGTGGGGATGAACTAGGATTTAGTGTGGAATACTTACACTGTGGGGATGTACTCTCTTGTGAGGATATTACATGAACTAGGATTTAGTGTGGAATTCTTTCACTGTGGGGATGTACTCTCCTGGGAGGATATTACATGAACTGGGATTTAGTATGGAATACTTACACTATGGGGATGTACTCTCCTGGGAGGATATTACATGAACTGGGATTTAGTGTGGAATACTTTCACTGTGGGGATGTACTCTCCTGGGAGGATATTACATGAACTGGGATTTAGTATGGAATACTTCCACTGTGGGGATGTACTCTCCTGTGAGGATATTACATGAACTGGGATTTAGTATGGAATACTTACACTGTGGGGATGTACTCTCCTGGGAGGATATTACATGAACTAGGATTTAGTGTGGAATACTTTCACTGTGGGGATGTACTCTCCTGGGAGGATATTATATGAACTGGGATTAATCATTTAGTGAGGAATACTTTCACTGTGGGGATGTACTCTCCCGGGAGGATATTATATGAACTGGATTAAGTATGGAATACTTTCACTGTGGGGATGTACTCTCCTGGGAGGATATTCTATGAACTGGGATTTAGTGTGGAATACTTACACTGTGGGGATGTACTCTCCTGGGAGGATATTCTATGAACTGGGATTTAGTGTGGAATACTTACACTGTGGGCATGTTCTCTCCTGGGAGGATATTATATGAACTGGGATCAAGTGTGGAATACTTACACTGTGGGGATGTACTCTCCTGGGAGGATATAATATGAACTGGGATCAAGTGTGGAATACTTTCACTGTGGGGATGAACTCTCCTGGGAGGATATTATATGAACTGGGATCAAGTGTGGAATACTTTCACTGTGGGGATGTCCTCTCCCGGGAGGATATTCTATGAACTGGGATTAAGTATGGAATACTTTCACTGTGGGGATGTACTCTCCTGGGAGTATATTATATGAACTGGGATTAATCATTTAGTGAGGAATACTTTCACTGTGGGGATGTACTCTCCCGGGAGGATATTATATGAACGGGGATGAAGTGAGGAATACTTACACTGTGGGGATGTACTCTCCCGGGAGAAGATTATATGAACTGGGATCAAGTGTGGAATACTTTCACTGTGGGGATGAACTCTCCTGGGAGGATATTATATGAACTGGGATTAATCATTTAGTGCGGAATACTTTCACTGTGGGGATGTACTCTCCCGGGAGGATATTATATGAGCTTGGATTAAGTGTGGAATACTTTCACTGTGGGGATGTTCTCTCCCGGGAGGATATTCTATGAACTTGGATTAAGTGTGGAATACTTTCACTGTGGGGATGTTCTCTCCCGGGAGGATATTCTATGAACTTGGATTAAGTGTGGAATACTTTCACTGTGGGGATGTACTTAACGGGAGGATATTATATGAACTGGGATCAAGTGTGGAATACTTTCACTGTGGGGATGAACTCTCCTGGGAGGATATTATATGAACTGGGATCAAGTGTGGAATACTTACACTGTGGGGATGTACTCTCCTGGGAGGATATAATATGAACTGGGATCAAGTGTGGAATACTTTCACTGTGGGGATGAACTCTCCTGGGAGGATATTATATGAACTGGGATTTAGTGTTGAATACTTTCACTGTGGGGATGAACTTGGATTTAGTGTGGAATACTTACACTGTGGGGATGTACTCTCCCGGGAGAAGATTATATGAACTGGGATCAAGTGTGGAATACTTTCACTGTGGGGATGAACTCTCCTGGGAGGATATTATATGAACTGGGATCAAGTGTGGAATACTTACACTGTGGGGATGTACTCTCCCGGGAAGGCATTTGTTGTGTAACTGATCAGGAGACATGTTTTACCAACAGCTCTGAAACATAAAAAATTTATAATTGGTCATAAACCTGATTTATATTAAAGAATATCTACAAACTGAATATATAATAATAAATTCATAATCACTGTTATGATAATTTCACCCCTTTTTACTGTGATGAATAATTCACATTCACAGTATATGTTAAAATATACAAAATTTGAAACATCTTCAATTTTATCAAATGTACATATACTTTAAACTTATGAAAAAATAGCCCCTACATTATTGTGTTATTGATAATAATTTCCTATGCATTAATTATTACCTATGATAAACAAAAGGAATGATATTGGAATTCCTGAAGTCAATACCTCTAACATATACCCTGTTGATTATAAATAACAGTGTGGCAGATTTAAATTGTATTAAGGTCGCCTTCTAGCTTTGACCTAGAGGGAATTTCTCTTTAGCTCAGTGGTAGAGCTTCCGACTAGGAACCTGGGGATCGCAGGTTCGATCCTAGGTGGAAGCACACTATTATCTTTCCTATTACAAGTGGTGTCCGTGGCCCTCCCTGTGGTGACAGGGAGTTAGAACATGGGTTGTGATGTTCGAGGGCGAACACATCTAAAAAGGGGGAGTAGTGTAGCAGATTTTAATTACATACATAGGATTACGGTCACCTTCGGAATTCTAGCTTCGAGCTAGAGGGAATTTTCCTTTGGCTTAGTGGTAAAGCATCCGACTAGGAACCTGGGGATGGCCGGTTTGACCCCCAGTGGAAGCACTCTATTCTCATTCCTGTTACAATAGTTTATATTCATCATAGCCTGATTTCTTATTTAATAAGTAATACATGTAGCGGTCACCAAATGCTTGGATAAGATTTTTTTTAAATTGGAACGTTTCACCAAAGCATACAACACACAAAAGCATTGAAGTATTTATAGCACAATATATCATTATCAAAACAATTGCTGTGGAAAAGTTAAACCATGAAACATTTCTATAAATATTCAACTGGAAGAGCTCTAGAATTTTAGCAACACACAAATCTAATGTATCTCTGAATGGCATTATATTAACTATGTACTGGTCAAGTGTGGAAACTATAGCTCATCACACTTGTGTGAACAGAACACATGTGTTAAATACATGAGTAATAGACATGCACCACTGGGGAGGGCTTTTGATTCTGACTTAGTCATCTATTGACCCCATTATCAATCCTCAACTATAAACAACTACTTCCTTGATGCTGGAATCCCCACATCACTGTAGTCTCACTCTGGTCAATGCTAAGACACAGAAAAGATGCTCGTGTCATTAGACTTACTCAGTCCTAAGCCACACACAAGTGACAGGAAGTGATTACTAAGAGTGACTATTGTCCATAAACTTGGCAAAGTTCACACTGGAACAAAATCAGTCCAATTTGTCTCAAATATCCTTTATCCCATATTCAAATGCGGAACTATGATACTTACTTCAAATCATATGAAATGTTTCAGCTTAATCAGTGTTAGGCCTAATATGAGTTATACATACTAAATCGTTTTGAGTTAGTCCAGAGCATTTTTGAGGCCAGTGCATTTTTTAGCTCATGACAGACGGAAGAGAAAAAGTTACACCGTTTAGTTAGATTTATAGTCCATTTTAACTCACCCGTCTCCCACTACAACACATTTGATGGCCTGCATATTCTGTTGTACACAATGGTTATTCAACGTCCAATCCTGATGTCAAGTATCACGGCCTTATTATGGGCCGACCTCTCCCAGTTTAATACCTATAGAAAATATGGCTGTCGCCTCTTATATAGGAACGATTAAACGTGAACTATTTATAGTATCTCCGGTGATTCACGATCTTAGCCGAGTTGTAATATATGCAGGCGACACCGGTGCGTGCATCATCTCGACGCTTTAAGTTTCGACTACGTTAACACAAACATTTTAAAGATCCATGATGTTACTATTTAAAGACGTTTTAATCAAGTTATTTTTGGAATGTCTATTCCTGCACCTGTTAATAAGCGAATGACATGGACATTTTCATCCATTACGTTATATGAACACATCAAGAATGGCCAAAAATATAATAGAAAACATTGCAACTCAAATTTCTATAATTTCATTATATGGTATTTTCGAAACAATGCAATAACTTCCAACTTTTCAAATAAAACAGTTCTAACTCTTATAATTTATTGGTCGTATCATATTTTAAACAAAAATAATTCAGATTCACATGATATTCGTTTTCATGTGTATAGCTATAGGGGCATAATTGTTCTTGCTACATGATTTTTTTATCCGGATATTATTAGCCGAATAGTCAAACTTTTAGAAACCCCATTGTGCTATGGTCTAAGCGACCTTTTCTTCCAAAATGTAAACATGGCAGCAGTCTGGCAACAAGCACTTGCCTTAGATGCAAAATACAACGCCTACAGGACACCAAATAATCCCCAGTTTAGTAAGAACTCGTTATTGTTTATACAAATATAATAAATACACTTATATTCATCTGCAAAGGGACATGCATTGCTATGTTTATAATGTTAGTGATCACCTTAGTCACTCCCACTGTCCAACATCATGATCATTGCCACTGTTATAACTATAGCACTTAGAAGTTATAAAGAAAACTTGTAAAATTAGTATAACTTAACAAGTTGACCAAGTAGGGAGGATGCATTGATTGACAAAAAATAGTAAATTATAATTGATGATTCAGTTTGGCAAAGGTAGAACTTTTTTTCCCGACTGGGTAAAAATCAATGCAGCACTCATGATCAGCAGTCTAAAAGACCTACTAAAACTCTATCATGTAAGACCTATATATATACTACTATGTAACTACTGGTAGAAGGCTGGTGGGTCTGAACCCACTTGCTTGTGCATGCTAGTACAATATAATTCCTCTTTTTTTTTACCCCCCGTTTTTCGAAAATGATAAATGTGTCATAACTATTTAAACTTACATTTGTTTGCCATGAATCGTCTTTTATAATTTATATGTATCAACTCTTATTTTTATTTGCTGAGTATCATCTCTATACCAGTTAACCATATAAATAGTATTATACAAATGCAACCTCCAAGGACACCTGAAGATTCTATCTATATGTTATACTCCACAGAGACCAAAATGGCTTTAATGCAGAGGGGGTTGAGTACACATGCGATACTTAGCTTCGTTTAATCCCAGTTGGTAGGGATTGATGCTTTTAATGCCTGTGTAGTAGGGGAGGGTTTTTGGGTGAAAAATATATTGAGTATAAGTTTAATTTATTCCATGGCAATACACTGTCAGTAGCTAGTGCATGCAGTAAGTAACTTACCTGTATTTATTCGTTAGAAAGTATTAAACTGTGACGTTTTCAGGTCATTTTCGGGGTGACTGGAGTTGACCCTGTCGTGCGGTGTATCGACTGGATAGTCGATAACATGCCACAGATAGTTTTGCAAGAGCGCGTGCATTTCGGGTGGGTGGGCTAGTGTATAAATACAGTCGTTGCCTGGGAATTATCGGGCAGTCGAACGGATTTGTTTCCAGAGGTGTGCCACAATATACTCCAGGTATACAGCCTATAGCTTAGCACCGGGCGGGTGGTCGTATGGGATTTTAAGCCTATGTAGGACCTCGACCAAGGGGCGTGTTCGAGTGCAAATGTAGTGCGGAAGTGTGAGTGAAAGGAATCATCATCTGTACATATCTCATTCTCTTATTAATAAATATTGTTAACAGTTTATTTGGATATTATCTCTTCTTTAGCCGACATGTTTCTTAAGTTGTGACCTACCGAACCTGGGTTGACAACATAGGGCGATGCGGGACTCGGGGACACACCGATTAAGTGTGTGAACTACCCGGAGCCCCGACTCGTCCTATTACACCTCTATTCCTTGCGCCCCGACTTTGATGTCATCCAGGTGGTTCCAATCTGTGGCTGTTCGCACAAAGAATGAGTTTCTGTATTGTTCCGTGTTGCTGTTGGGTATTATGACTGCTCTGTTATTGTTCCTGATTGAATTTGGAATTGGTCTTGATGTCTCGCAGTCCTGGAATATACGCTGTTGTGTTTTCCTTTTTTCACGTTGGAAGTTAATAAAATCTTTGCTAGGCATTGATGGAATTTGCTCCTGTACTATTTTATAATTGAATGTTAGTCTCTGTTGTTTTCGTCTTGATGCTAGTGGTGGAAGTTGTAGCTCTTTGAGTAGTTGGTCATGACTCCCTCTTCCCTTGTTCTGTAATCCTTCTGGATGAAACGCGCCCATCTCCGTTGGATGTTTTCCGATTTGTTAATGTTCACCTTTATGTACGGGTCCCAGATTATTGCTCCATATCCTAAGATGGATTTGATAAGAGCAATGTATGCAGTCTTTCTACATTCTCTGGGGCAGTGTTGTAGGTTGCGTCGTAGGAAGCCGAAGGTAGAATTGGCTTTTTTTGTGGTACTTGCTATATGTTCTTTCCACTTCATACCCCCTGATAGTTGTAATCCTAGGTATAGGCTTGTCTGTACGTGATCTAAGTTGTGTCCATTAAGTTGGTATGTGTTTCTTAATACAATGAATGTAACAATTTTTGGCAATAAATTTCATCCCCCAATTTGCAGCCCAAGTTTCGAAATGTTTAAGGTTGTCTTGAAGTGTTTCGTGGTCCTTGTTTGAGATTATTTCTCGATAGAGTAGGCAGTCATCTGCGAAAGTCTAACTGTTGATTTCACAGAGTCTGGCAAGTCATTTATATGACAAAGGAAGAGTAGGGGTCCTAGTACTGTTCCTTGTGGTACTCCTGACTCAATGTGCCACAATCCACTCATACTTCTGAGTTCTGTCGCAGATTACAGCAGTAGAAGAAGATGAAGACAGCATTTTTACTATAATTTCTTCTAAAATTAAGTATTAAAGTTATGAGAAAAAAAATCTTTCCTGTGACATGACAGTATATCACAAAATTATCTCATAGTGCATTCTTGCTGTATAGCAATATATCATGATACACTACAAGCATAACATGGCAACCCAATTTATATGAACACTTTCATGTTTTTTTTTATTAATAGTTAACTGAGCTAGTCTCACTTAGTTAACTACAAAGAATAACATACACTGATTTGGTGTAGATAGAAATATTTTCATATGTTTATAATTGACTATAAAATGAAAAGAAAGATTCCTTAATGTTAAGTTTAATATGCTTGTACAAATATATTCTGTGTTATATTTTACATTTGATTCTGAATGTATGATATAAGTATATTTATATTATTCACAATTTTTTTAATAAGATGTTACATTTGAATTGTAAATGACATCTTGCAATCTTTCCTGGATGCTACTTATGTTATAACACTGCTGTAACAGGTTCACTACGATTACTGATATTTTGTAGGAACCTTATACATCCGAAGAAGAAGCCAACTTCTAAGAGAGAATGCCAAATCAGGTGTAAGTACCCCATCTTTGATCATATAGCCAGTATGGCAGTGTACTGCAGGCTAGATATAAAGCACCCGAGCACCTGCAATAGTTTATATATGGCCTGAGTTCAAGTGTCCTAACAGTTCATAGGGTACAAATAGCTAACCTTAATGTTAGCTCCAGACAATGACAGCAGTCACCAGCAGGATCCAAATGATTAAAAGACAAGTAGCTAATTTTAGCATGCTCATTATGGTGAGCAAAGCCGGTTGTTTGTTTCAGTTTATAGCTTGCTGAGATTGGAAGGTTGTGAAAGTTTGGTCAAAAGAATTATTTGTGTTTCTGCTATCATCCTTAGAAAAAATAGGATAGTAAGGCATTCTTTTCTTATTTTGGAAAATATTTTTACCATGCTTATGTAGTGCAGGAGTTCTTAATTTAACAGTGCTTATCACTTACTGCCAATAAAAGCTTAAAGGTTGGCACAAAAATCTAGGGTAGGTAAAGTTAGTGGAAACACAAAATGTTTATATTTGGCCTTATGCTGAAACTTGGTGGAAGTGATAAGTGCATGGCTCTGACCTATGTTAATTTAAAGCTGGTTTAAAATCCAAAATGTTCTCCATTTTGAAAATCTGTTAAATGTTGCAATCAAGTTTTAATCAATTAATTTTTGCTGAAACTTGGTGGAAGTTACAAGGACATGTACATGGTTTTGACCTGATACCATTGCTGAAACTTGGTGGAAGTGATAAGTACATGGTTCTGACCATATATCAATATTTTTTTTGTTACCATCATTCATTCATCTCAGACCATTAGACTCCTTTGAACGTTTTGGTAATTTAGATCTATCTGAAATCAGATATGACACTTGATAGGGCACATCAGTATTTGTTCCTCATCAAATATTCGTATCTTATAAGTTGATATGAAATTTCAATCGATTTACTTCTATTTATATATTAATGCAGTATCTATTAGGTGTATCAAACGTTTCAACTGTTTCAGCAACGAGATCCAGCTGTTCGCAAGGAATACCTTCACCAAAGGGCACAGCTGTTGACTTCTCGATATGGAAGTCCAGCATTTTCTGACCAGGGGTATTAATTTCTTACGTTATTGATTGAAACTTGTGTTGTGGTACAACTACAGTAAACAGAGCTATTTCACTGTAATAGATTGTGTAAAAAGATGAATCATCATTTATGGGTGAATGTATTAACTGCTTAAGTAATTAGTGTTTCTTGTAGGACATGTCTGAGGTTTGGTAATCAGTAAGAATGTGATAATGTGATGTGTTCACCTACCCAATCACAGAACTTATTACCGATAGTTTCCTTGTTATCACCTGTCCAACAAATAGTACTGATAGTCATAGGTCCCATATCTCACGTTGATCAGAAAACTCTCAGTACTTGGTAATAGTCATAGGTCCCATATCTCACGTTAATCAGAAAACTCTCGGTACTTGGTAATAGTCTTAGGTCCCATATCTCACGTTGATCAGAAAACTCTCGGTACTTGGTAATAGTCATAGGTTCCATATCTCACGTTGATCAGAAAACTCTCGGTACTTGGTAATAGTCTTAGGTCCCATATCTCACGTTGATCAGAAAACTCTTAGTTCTTGTACTTGGTAATAGTCTTAGGCATATTTCTTGTCAACAGAAACAACTTGTGAGATTGAAAAACACATGTATAACACAATTACAGCCTAACAATTTATTGAACTTTATGTGCAGGTATAATTAATTGTCAGGAAGAAAAAGTTTAATAAAAGAGTGGATGTTTTTTTGTTATCATTTTGACTTGTAGATGATTTAGATTGGATATACATGAGAGTATGATAGTGTATTGTCCATTACAGTTGTGACATGTCAGTGATTAACAGTTGTGTATTAATTTTTCACCATTTCAGGAGTATCAGAAGCAGGTCATTCAGCATCAGAAGCATAAGTAGAAACACAATGGAGGTAAACACTGTATTAAGTTGTGCTCGGTTAATGTATGGATCAATTATAACCCACATTTTTACAGAAAAGTTAATCTTGCCCAGGTCAAAATGAACAGATACAAGTTGTATTATTTGTTACACATATAATGTCATTGCTTTCCCAGATGTTGCTTTATCTTTATAAAATTATTTCATTGTTTCATGTGACTATTTTATGGAGTTGTAATTTCTTACAAAAACTTATGCGCAGAGTTTTGACAACCTAGTGATTGGAGTAGATGGGAAGAAGCACCACAGACGCCACCAGAGCGGTGGGTCCTTTAAGCACATGTACGAGGGGCCAATGAAGCGTGTGTATGACAGTATAGAAGTGGTGCCCACACGAGAGGCTGAAGCCAGCAGGTCTGTTAACATTGTCAAAAGATATATCTATGGAATTAAACTCCTCGGGTCCTGTTGACCAACTAAAACTAAAATGCTTTTGGAATTGAAATTGAAAAATATTCCCATTATATTTGTATCTGTACTTGTACTAGAAGAAAACAGTAAAATGAAGAGAACATTCCATGATCTATCAATGGTCGACACCAAAATTTCCCCGAAAACCTCTTGGTATTTTAATACTACTCCAATTTACTATGTTCAAAAGTAAAGTACAAAAAAACACCATAATATATGATACTCTGATTGTTAATAAATAAAAGTTAGTTAGGAAAACAGATCAATTATAAAATTTCAAGTGATTTCAAACACTAGTCTTGATGGTGCTAGTCTGAAATGGTTTAGTCTGGTCAAGTCTATAGCTGTCTTGTCTGAGTTTGATGGCAATATTCTGGTCAAATCTTCAACATTCTTGATGGAGTTTGATTTTAATGTTCTAATCGAATTCTGACATTCTTGATTGTCGTGCATTAGACTGTAATATTCTGGTCAAATGACATTCGTGAGTTAGACAGTAAAATAATGTTTTGGTAAAATCTTTAGAATTCTAGCTGGAGTTCGACAGTAATGTGTGGTCAAATCTTTTGCAATCTATAATGAGAGAGAGGGTAATGTTCCAGTCCATAATTGCCTGGTCTGGTTAACTCTGCAGTGGCATGTCTATAAATTAAACAGCATGTAGATTACAGGTACTGCCCTCATGTGGTTATTTTGAAGTTCTTCACATTGGGATAAAGACTGATTTTTTAAAATGAACATTTTTAAAATAACCTAAATTTTTGTGTTACTGGTACCCGGTAACTTACCGTTTAGCCGATCAGTGTTTGAGCAATGCATTTCATTTACTCTGTGAGTTTTCCAGATCTAAATATAAATATAAGGTTGGAGCAGGGAGACACTAATATTTGGTTGGTTGAGTCTTGAAATAATTGTTAGCATATGTATAGGGCCAAAAAAGAAAATACAGCAGGTGGTGGCAGTCAGCCCTCCCTCATCCTATATGTATGTATTTCTAGAATAGTTTAAATATACAGATAGCAGTTTAGAAGTAAGCAGCTTGCCTACCTGTTTATGTATAGCTATAATCAGGACAGATAAACACAGATAACCAGAAGGTTTGGTACTACTACACAAGGATAAAACCAACCATAAATTTCCCTTTTGATTAAAGACTACTTCTCAGTAGTCTGTACATATCACTTCTGTATGTAACAAACATCCATGACTAAACTTTATCATACATTTCTGTGTAAAATACACTCCTCGTGACTGGAGATAAACAAATGTCCTTTTTGTAGATATGTTTATGTAAAATGCTTGAGTTCATAGAGACTAAAAAATGATTTGATAACAAATTTTGGGCAAAATCCAAAAAAGAGAATTAGATGTCTTATAGTTTTGAGTATTGACATTTATGATGGCACAATGATATAGATGACATATGTTGTTGAACTAATTATGCTATCATGGAAAAGCAACCAATACTAAAGTCTATACTTGATCACATGATTCAGGTTTAAAATTTAAATAGTGCATTTCTGATTTCCCTACCGAACCTATTCTTAGACAGCCTACCCTTAAGGTTTTGAGCTAACTTAGACAAGCACTGCACTGCTAAAGTTAAGATCCTCGTTCTCTATATCTAATTTATATAAAATAAGTCGTACACTAAGAATCTTCCCCTACCCCATCCATTGATCTTAAGTTATTACATGGTGAAACCAGAAACACACTTGACCTTATTATAATAGTGACATTAAGACCCTGAAGGTTCATGATCCAAGTCTTATCTTTATTTGCAGAGCAATGGCCGGAGGTAAAACAGTGTCAGAAAACTACGCTTTTACAGGAATGCATCATATATTTGATCAGCACAAAGAATCAGGTACATAATATACAATGTCCTATACAGTTTTGTACTATTTAACACTAGAGGAGAAATCTGGGATGATTTGATGCTTGTAATTCTACTATTCATTTAGAAGTCAGAGAATTTAAAACAGTTCTTTCAAATTTTTGGCCTAATCAAGCTGTTTGTCAAATATGAGAAAAGGAATGTTTTGCCAATCTGGAAATGACAACCTCAGTGTAATTCAAGGTAACTGGTATTCATAAATCTAAAATAAGTAGCAATTTACAGTGATCTGCTAAGTTGATAGTTATACAGTGTAGGTTGATGTATATCTATCACAATTTACAGTGATCTGCTAAGTTGATAGTTATACAGTGTAGGTTGATGTATATCTATCACAATTTACAGTGATCTGCTAAGTTGATAGTTATACAGTGTAGGTTGATGTATATCTATCACAATTTACAGTGATTTGCTAAGTTGATAGTTATACAGTGTAGGTTGATGTATATCTATCACCATTTACAGTGATCTGCTAAGTTGATAGCTATACAGTGTAGGTTGATAGTTGTACAGTGTAGGTTGATAGTTATACAATGTAGGTTGATAGTTATACAGTGTAAGTTGATAGTTATACAGTGTAGGTTGATGTATGTCTATCACAATTTACAGTGATCTGCTAAGTTAGTAGTTATACAGTGTATGTTGATGTATGTCTATCACAATTTACAGTGATCTGCTAAGTTGATAGTTATACAGTGTATGTTGATGTATATCTATCACAATTTACAGTGATCTGCTAAGTTGGTAGTTATACAGTGTATGTTGATGTATATCTATCCCAATTTACAGTGATTTGCTAAGTTGATAGTTATACAGTGAAGGTTGATGTATATCTATCACAATTTACAGTGATCTGCTAAGTTGATAGTTATACAGTGTAGGTTGATGTATATCTATCCCAATTTACTGTGATCTGCTAAGTTGATAATTATACAGTGAAGGTTGATGTATATCTATCACAATTTACAGTGATCTGCTAAGTTGATAGTTATACAGTGTAGGTTGATAGTTATACAGTGTAAGTTGATAGTTATACAGTGTATGTTGATAGCTATACAGTGTAGGTTGATAGTTGTACAGTGTAGGTTGATAGCTATACAGTGTAGGTTGATAGTTGTACAGTGTAGGTTGATAGTTATACAATGTAGGTTGATAGTTATGCAGTGTAGGTTGATAGTTATACAGTGTAGGTTGATAGTTATACAATGTAGGTTGATAGTTATACAGTGTATGTTGATAGTTATACAATGTAGGTTGATAGTTATACAGTGTAAGTTGATAGTTATACAGTGTAGGTTGATAGTTATACAATGTAGGTTGATAGTTATACAGTGTATGTTGATAGTTATACCATGTAGGTTGATAGTTATACAGTGTTTGTTGATAGTTATACAGTGTAGGTTGATAGTTATACAGTGTAAGTTGATTGTTATTCAGTGTAGGTTGATAGTAATACAGTGTAGGTTTATAGTTATACAGTGTAGGGTGATAGTTATACAGTGTAGGATGATAGTTATACAGTGTATTTTGATAGTTATACAGTGCAAGTTAATAGTTATACAGTGTAGGGTGATAGTTTTACAGTGTAGGTTGATATTTATACAGTGTAGGTTGATGTATATCTATCACAATTTACAGTGATCTGCTAAGTTGATAGTTATACAGAGTAGGTTGATAGTTATACAATGTAGGTTGATAGTTATGCAGTGTAGGTTGATAGTAATACAGTGTAGGTTTATAGTTATACAGAGTAAGTTGATAGTTATGCAGTGTAGGTTGATAGTAATACAGTGTAGGTTGATATTTATACAGTGTAGGTTGATAGTTTTACAGTGTAGGATGATAGTTATACAGTGTCGGTTCATAGTTATACAGAGTAAGTTGATAGTTATACAGTGTCGGTTCATAGTTATACAGTGTAGGTCGATAGTTATACAGTGTAGGTTTATAGTTATACAGTGTAGGTTGATAGTTATACAGTGTAGGTTTATAGTTATACAGTGTAAGTTGATAGTTATGCAATGTAGGTTGATAGTTATATAGTGTAGGTTGATAGTTATACAGTATATGTTGATAGTTATACAGTGTAGGTTGATAGTTTTACAGTGTAGGATGATAGTTATACAGTGTAGGTTGATAGTTATACAGTGTAGGTTGATAGTTATACACTGTGGGTTGATAGTTATACAGTGTTTGTTGATGTATATATATCGCAAAGAATACTTATCATTTCAGTGACAAGTGTCAAGTTTGCCAATGATGATAAGTCGCGAGTAGCATGTTCATCACTGGATGGTTCCTTGTCCATCTGTCAGGTCATTCCTCCTCCGGCCACGGTCATCTGTATGTTGAACGGCCACTCGGCTGGAGTTACAGGTAACTAAGAGAGACATGTTGTATTCTCCCCCTACTGTAACAGTCAAGACGGTAGACCTAACCACAAGTTATGGTAGTGTTGCTGACTGTGACATCAGAGTCTAGGTATCAATCTGATTGGTAGTAAGTCCAATGTTAGACCTAACCACAAGTTATGGTAGCGTTGCTGACTGTGACATCAGAGTCTAGGTATCAATATGATTGTTAGTAAGTCCAATGTTAGACCTAACCACAAGGTATGGTAGCGTTGCTGACTGTGACATCAGAGTCTAGGTATCAATCTGATTGGTAGTAAGTCCAATGTTAGACCTAACCACAAGTTATGGTAGCGTTGCTGACTGTGACACCAGAGTCTAGGTATCAATCTGATTGGTAGTAAGTCCAAACAGACTTTTCCTCCTTCTCTCATTTTCCCTCCACATTAACTTGCTCTAGGATTAATCAATACCTGTCACTTCAATAGTTGCCTTTGTTATAAAGTCCAAGTTTTGGTTACTGTTAAATTAAAAAGCTCTTCTAGAGTTGTTTGCCTTTAGACCATTGTAAAAGACTCGGGTTACATTAGAGTATACCGGTTGAAACGGTACAAATGTCGCGGAAAAATTCCACGATAAACGAACACACTTAGACCGTTCTATAGGCAGAGCTAAAAAAAGGCACAGTTTCGGAGGATACATAACAATGTATCAATAATATTATGCCCTTCTTTCACGCGTGCACTAAATTATATAACGTATCTTAAAATCTGCATCTGGATTGATATTGTTTTAGAAAGAAATAACGCAAACTAGCAATTGCCAGCATTTTAGTTCTTGAGGTCAGCCTCGGTTCAGATCTGCGCCTGTTGTTTTCTTTCCAGGTTCAACTGTTTCAACTGGTTGAACCAGATACGCCAAAGGGGCCCATTTCTCTATGACTGAACCCTGTAAAATTGCAAAAATAAAAAATGTCAACTCTAGTTTCAAGGAATAAATGAAATTAACTTTTCAATGATACAATGAAAGTTATAACCACCCCGTAACTTATAACATTAGGATATTTTAGGACAAGATAGCTGCAGTATTAAGTGAGGAAATGGCCTAGTTTTTCCATAGCGGTAAGTACACAGATACCACACACACCTAATTGACCTAGGCTTCCAAATAGGAAATGAAAATACAAAACTTAGAAAATAAAGCTTTCTGGAAGGATCCCCATAGTAATTCACATTGATTGGTTCTCCTTCTTGATTCTTGCTGGAAATTATGTAGAATAAATGTTAAGTTATGTAAACATACTCTCTAAATATATAAACGAGTTTTACTCCTATACACACTTGTACTACCACCTTACACTACCAAATACTGTTATTCTAAATTATAATAACCTGTTTTATTTTTGCAAACTTACCTCCTACGTCACTTCCAATACAAACTTTGATGCACAACCATGCTCACTTATCTTATTCTTGAAACTGTCCACATGAGTCATTCACTGTGCAGAGGGAACCTTTTACTAAGTTTCTGATATAAAGAAATTTTTAATTAATCCTGGAAACAGTTCACAAAATGCAGTTATTTTGGTGCATGTTTGGCTTTTCAGATTGTGTCGCAAGTAAGTTAATTGTTTCATCTTGAACCTTCACACAAGAGTCAATCACACTGCGAAGGGGTGCTTTTTGGTATTTTTTCGTTTCAGGTCTCTACATATTTATCTAATTGTGAGGAATTATGAGATAACTGTTGTCATACATCTGTATTTCTTTCGCAAGATTACACTTCTCATTAGAGACACGATGTACCTTATTACACTTCTCATTAGAGACATGATGTACCTTAATTACACTTCTCATTAGAGACATGATGTACCTTAATTACACTTCTCATTAGAGACATGATGTACCTTATTACACTTCTCATTAGAGACATGATGTACCTTAATTACACTTCTCATTAGAGACATGATGTACCTTATTACACTTCTCATTAGAGACATGATGTACCTTAATTACACTTCTCATTAGAGACATGATGTACCTTATTACACTTCTCATTAGAGACATGATGTACCTTAATTACACTTCTCATTAGAGACATGATGTACCTTATTACACTTCTCATTAGAGACATGATGTACCTTAATTACACTTCTCATTAGAGACATGATGTACCTTATTACACTTCTCATTAGAGACATGATGTACCTTAATTACACTTCTCATTAGAGACATGATGTACCTTATTACACTTCTCATTAGAGACATGATGTACCTTAATTACACTTCTCATTAGAGACATGATGTACCTTATTACACTTCTCATTAGAGACATGATGTACCTTAATTACACTTCTCATTAGAGACATGATGTACCTTATTACACTTCTCATTAGAGACATGATGTACCTTAATTACACTTCTCATTAGAGACATGATGTACCTTATTACACTTCTCATTAGAGACATGATGTACCTTAATTACACTTCTCATTAGAGACATGATGTACCTTATTACACTTCTCATTAGAGACATGATGTACCTTAATTACACTTCTCATTAGAGACATGATGTACCTTATTACACTTCTCATTAGAGACATGATGTACCTTAATTACAGTTCTCACAGATCTGTGTACTTTAATATTCTATTTATCATTGATACACTTCTCATAAGAGACATGATGTACCTTAATTACAGTTCTCACAGATCTGTGTACTTTCGCAGCACCCAAGATTACACTTCTCATTAGAGACATGATGTACCTTAATTACAGTTCTCACAGATCTGTGTACTTTAATATTCTATTTATCATTGATACACTTCTCATAAGAGACATGATGTACCTTAATTACAGTTCTCACAGATCTGTGTACTTTAATATTCTATTTATCATTGATACACTTCTCATTAGAGACATGATGTACCTTATTACAGTTCTCACAGATCTGTGTACTTTAATATTCTATTTATCATTGATACACTTCTCATTAGAGACATGATGTACCTTATTACAGTTCTCACAGATCTGTGTACTTTAATATTCTATTTATCATTGATACACTTCTCATTAGAGACATGATGTACCTTATTACAGTTCTCACAGATCTGTGTACTTTAATATTCTATTTATCATTGATACACTTCTCATTAGAGACATGATGTACCTTATTACAGTTCTCACAGATCTGTGTACTTTAATATTCTATTTATCATTGATACACTTCTCATTAGAGACATGATGTACCTTATTACAGTTCTCACAGATCTGTGTACTTTTATATTCTATTTATCATTGATACACTTCTCATTAGAGACATGTTGTACCTTATTACAGTTCTCACAGATCTGTGTACTTTAATATTCTATTTTTCATTGATACACTTCTCATAAGAGACATCATGTACCTTAATTACAGTTCTCACAGTTCTGTGTACTTTCGCAGCACCCAAGATTACACTTCTCATTAGAGACATGTTGTACCTTATTACAGTTCTCACAGATCTGTGTACTTTAATATTCTATTTATCATTGATACACTTTGAGATTGTGTATCTCCTACATCTTTGTATTTCAGATTTTGTTTGGTCTCTGTCCAATGATGTGATCTTGTCTGTGTCGCTTGATGGCACGGCCCGACTGTGGGATGTGGCTGCGGGGAAGTGTATGCGAGTCATCAACGACAGCATGGGGGCGGAGCTACATTGTTGTGTGTTCCAGCCCCTCAACAACAACATGTTTGTGGTATCCTTTGCAGGCTGTTATACATTAAACAGTCATTGTAGGTGACATGTGTGTTTCATATACTTTAGGCTGTAAGATGGATTTACTAAAAACATTATACCATTTCTGTTGATTATTTTCATGGTACTTTGTAACCAGTCTCCATTTAAAGTTGTCTGAGACAAAGTCAGGCGTGGACCCTGGGAACTTATTCCCTGGTTCATAACTTTGAAACAGTGGAGATCTTTACCTTGCCTGAAGAGATGAATACAGATATGCTACCAAGATCAGCAACAGTTGAGATCCCCTCTCCATAGCTGTATGACCTAGTAGAAACTGGCTTTGCTTCTACAGACCTATTTCTTATATATTACTTTTAGTGAGAACATTTTGTCATTATTTCTTTAATATCCAACAGAGTAAATGCAGTCCCTCTTGGACTTTTTCTATTTCTCATTGAAAATGATTTGATGCAGATTCATTGAGAGAAAAAATACTTCGTTCGAACAAAAGTTGTCTCCTGCGGAAATGAGAGCATTTGTTATCTTAGTTGTGGTGTTGTCTGCTAAGAATCTTTATGACCCTAAAATCATAATGTTGACCTTGTTGTTGTCTAATTTTGTTATGAATCTTGTAGATTGTGCATTTACTGAGTATAACAAAACAGCTTATTGACCCTGCTATTGGAATGAATTGAGATTTGCCTACCATTGAAAGATAATATTCGAGGCGATATCACCAATCTCAAACAGATCACAAATCACACCATTATGGGAGTCAACAATTGTATACTTGGAAATTTAGCTTTGCATGTCTTTGACCAAAAGTGCAGGAATGTAGTAATATGCAAAACAATGTCAAACACTAGATGTTTTCAGTGATAAGTGCCAGTCTAGTGCCTTAACACATGTCAGACAGGTAACGGTAAAGGCCAGGTACAGATGATGAACGTGTCTACAGGTAAAGGAAACAAGGTAGGTCACAACTCCTAACTATCTTCTAGGTATCTAAGATTATAACTCATACAATAGTGTGAGCTATGCAAACTCCTTAATGTTAGCCAAACAAATAGGTTTTCCTAAAGATTGACACATTCAAAACCAAGTATGAGTTACATTTGTTCTAAGTTACTGGAAATTTAACATATTAATGAATCATGATCTGTGTGTAAATGTTCCTACTGGCTTTGATGTGATGTTATCAACCTGTCACAGGGAGGAAGCAGTAAAGTGACAGGGAAGGCGATGGCTTTGGCCTTTGATACCACGGGACGTATTCTGTGGGCAGGCGATGACAAGGGCTCCATCTTCTCTTTTACGGTAGATGTGGCTACAGGCAAACTCACGAAAACACGGAGGTCAGTTAATCTCACCATGCTACAATTGTCTGTTTAAGTCATAGAAGTCAATAGTAGAATTAAGTCAGTGTGACGTAGTTTATTACTACCATAACACCAGTTAAAATCAGAATGACAAAAACACCAGTTTAACTAATTACAAAAGGTAAAGGAATGAAATCAGAAAGAACATTTAAACATCCCTGCAAGGCATTAGCAGAGAATGGTTATTTCCTGATTTCTGTTGTAAAATAAAATGTATTTGTGTATTTGAAGGTCTGCCTGACTGAATCCTGTGTCAGAGAGTGTATACATAAGTATGTCAGAGAGTGTAAACATAAGTATGTCAGAGAGTGTTAACATAAGTATGTCAAGGAGTGTAAACATAAGTATGTCAGAGAGTGTATACATGGATATGTCAGACAGTGTAAACATAAGTATGTCAGAGAGTGTAAACATCAGTATGTCAGAGAGTGTAAACATAAGTATGTCAGAGAGTGTAAACATAAGTATGTCAGAGGGTGTAAACATAAGTTTGTCAGAGAGTGTAAACATAAGTATGTCAGAGAGTGTAAACATAAGTATGTCAGAGAGTGTATACATGGATATGTCCGTTTACTGGAATTAAAGTTGTTTGTAAATATCAGATTTGCTGTCCATTAAACATGAATAATTGTAACTTTTAAAAATAACCTCCTGTTTTATTGACCTCCTTTTTGTTACAGAATCACAGTAAGTGATGGCAATGCCATCACCAGTATCTCGTCACGCTCCTGGATCAGCCGAGAGGCACGTGATCCTTCACTTCTCGTCAACAGCTGCATCAGTGCTATGTGCCTTTTCAAGTAAGATGTCACTTTTTCATTCAAATGTACAATTGATTTTAGTGTAGTTTTATAATATTCCCACCATTTTATGGGGGAGGGCAGAGTTTCATTTGACTTGAAGCATCCTAAGGTGATGCCCAATTGGGGCTTAGGGGTAGGGCCAGATATCCTACCAGGATTGGTCTCAGAACCTGTCCCTACCCGTATGGACTAAGTCCCTTGTTCATAACCAAATAACCACATATAGAATTGCTGAGTATGAAGAGACAAATACACAAGTCATATACTACCAGGATTTGCTCCAGGGTGTTTCCCCGCCCATTTAGACTTAGTTTTAGCTTTGAGATTGAGATCCTTATGGCATAACCATATTTCCTATTCCTGGACATGAAAAGGTGAATGCAGATATGCTACTATGATTTGCCCCTGCCCTTAGGGACTTAGTCCTTGGGCCTGACATGAAAACAGTTATGATGACAGATCCCCAACCTGTAACACTATATTCCATCGCTGAGCATAAGGATTTTGATATATTTATATGCTACCAGATTTGGCATTGGGGTCTGACCCAACCACGTTGCACTACAAACTTATTTTCATAAGTTTTTTGAATGAGAAAATTTCTGCCATGATGACTTGTTTATCCAATTGAGATTTTCAAATTTATTATATTTCTTAGGGTGGTGACAGAGGATGGTGGTTTACAGCTGAAGAAAACATTTCCTGTGAAACAGAAAAAGTGTCATATCCGCAGTGCTTTTTGTCCTCTCATGTCTTTCCGACAGGGGGCCTGTGTGGGCAAGTATTAATATAAGACTGAAATAGACAATTAAAATAAGGCAATATACTTCGTGTTTCCCTGAAAACTCGTGTTATTCTGAGTGATTCATCATTATGTCAGAAGAGGGTCCACTTCTTATATATTCACTTAATTATTTTACCTGTTATTTTCCCACTCAGTCTGTTACACATTTGTGAAACAGTCAATTACATATTCTTTTAGCAAACATAATTGTAACCTTTGTAACATTGATGTAACCTTTGTTACATTGATGTAACCTTTGTAACATTGATGTAACCTTTGTAACATTGATGTAACCTTTGTAACATTGATGTAACCTTTGTAACATTGATGTAACCTTTGTAACATTGATGTCACCTTTGTAACATTGATGTTAACTTTGTAACATTGATGTCACCTTTGTTACGTTGATGTAACTTTAATTTGTATTTAATTAGTTACCATGTGAAACTTTGGCAGATAATTTGTAGTAAAGATGATTTTCACATTGAGTATAAATGTTTACTTACAGTATCTGGCAGTGAAGATATGTGTGTGTACTTCTTTGATGTTGGTAAGGACAACAAACCGTGTGTGAACAAACTTCTTGGCCACTCAGCTCCTGTATTGGACGTGTGTTTCAACTGTGATGAAAGCCTGCTTGCCTCCTGTGATGAACTGGGTATGGTGATCATCTGGAAACGAGAGGGAAAGCAGGGAATGCTTTAATGGTCACGTGCCATTCCATGCTTTTCATGTTACATTTCCTTAGTCTTACCTAACACTGATGGTTCAGATGCTCTCGGAAACTAAATTTTCCTTTAGCTTAGGTATTCTTGCTTAATCGTACCATTCAAGATTTTCCCTGAAGTTTATTATATTCACTCTTAAATGTTATCCGACCATTATTACTGTGTCAGTGAAGTACAGGTGAAGTGAATCCCAATAACAGTGATGTAAGCTCCTACCACAGTATCTCCAGGTGTCAAAGCCTTATCTTATTCTATTCCCTTACTGATACATGCTTGCGTCACTGTTCTATAACACTGTGGTTGTGGAGTACTTAAACAGGATGTTTGAGAACACTGCAAGGGCTGGAGCCATTCACTTGTGCAATAACTGAGATGACCAATTTGTCCACAAGCTCAGCCTTGTGAGCTTAGGAAAATGTTAAATATGATTTTGTTATATTATTCCAAATGTGTTGAATTCTAATTTAAATCCTTCATATTAACCACATATCAGATATTGATTAATAATGTTGAGTATTTATTTAGAGGATATAATCCAGTGTTAATTAAGGTTTCATTGCTAGCCAAGATCTGAATATTTCTACATATTTGCCATTGATTGCATTAATCTTTTGTGTGACCTTAAATAGTTAATTAAGGATTGAAATGCATCTTTTTAATATTTATGATGGTATGAAAAAGTTCCGTTCAAACATATTCATGAAGCGCAGTAGTACATCTTGGAGAGTATGTTTGAATGGGACTATGATAATACTATAATAATAGTCCTTTTTAAACAGATACATTTCAATCCTTAAATTTACATTCAAAAAAGCAAAGATGATATAATTTTCTATCTATCTATATGTTATACTCCAGAGAGACCAACATGGCTTTAATGCGGAGGATTTATCCTTCTTTGTAGTTTGATTCAGTTCAAAATACACTTTATATTAACCGTTTTATAATCTATTGGTAGATCAGCCATTTTTGTTGGAACAAGGTCATGCTTTCTATGAATACCAGTTCCGTCCAGCGGCAAGTGTTAACCAGAAATGATTCAGGTTTCCATTACATTTGAAGTTGATGTCACGTCATAATTGGTCTCCAATTACTCCAATTGTTTGATGGAAAGACGCAAATAGTTTCTTATTGGAAAATATTCACATGTAATATGTTATAATATATTAGATTTTAGCAACATTTTTGGTTGATGTATTTATCACAGAAAATGTAATTATTCAGGAGTTAATTACATGTCGATATAATGGAACTTCATACTTTTTTGTATAAACATTGGTTTTCCTGCTACTGATAAATGGGAAAATTTAGTTTGTATTTTAGACTTGTATTTTAAGCACAAGGGGGCTAATTTGACACACATACAAGCATTGATGTAGCAGGTATTTCCCTGAATATTTTTTGTTTTCCTAAATGTGTAATCTACAAAGATAGGAACACTAGTACAAGTGACATTTCTTTCAAGTGCATGTGTGATTGTACACAATGTATTAATCCCCCACTTTCTAGGACAGCAAGTTAATGTGTCTGTGTATAGAAGCTGAAGGGGGGTGTCCTTTGTTTTATAAGACTACTTGTGAGGAGGTGGCCCCTTGTTTTATAAGACTACTTGTGAGGAGGTGGCCCCTTGTTTTATTAGACTACGTACTATGAGATTCTCTATACATTCCCCTGCTTTGATATGTCATAGTGCTACAGTTCTTCACATTCCACTTTGTCCAATAACGGAATATTTTATTAATATATATGTGTACATACTGTATGCAGATTACCTACAACTAATATTTTTTGTTGTTTCAAAATTTTCTTTTCACAACGGTTCAAGATTTAATACGTTTGAAATTCAGATACGATAAAAGTGCTGAAGTTTACTTAAAAGGAGCTACACTCGTATACTGTGTCTGCTTGGTAATTACTTTATATAGAGGTTTTAATCAGCATTGGTAAAATAAGATGTTTGCTCCTTTTATATCTTATTCCTCACCATAATTATTGTTTGAATTAAGGGGGAAAATGCCATGTTTTATTGAGCAGATGATTGATACAAGTGATGTCCTGTTTTCAATGTTGGGTGTTAGGTACAGTTGCCTTGTCATGTTGCTCAAGGTATGTACAAACATATACAAAAATGTACGTGCAATATTAACTATTGTGAATCTATTGTTATTGTTGGTTTTATGTCGGCTGTGTGTGCATACTAGAGAACGTTTGCCGTATTTTAATTTTAATTTTTACCCCTTTATATTGAGAGTGAATTTTTCACAGTGAATATATATACCCAACATAATATCTATTGTTATTGAATGTGAAGAGAAAAATTAATGCTTGGTGAAAATAGATTTTACTGGTGAAGGGCAAATATTTAACTGGCAAAACTTTTCTGGTATGCAGTATAACTTTTATTTAATGCAAAGCATTGAAGTATCAGGATTATACAGGTTCTGCTAATTCATCAACACATGGACATACTACACAGGAAATGTCAAGGACAGAAAGATGTGTGTACAAGGCTTTAGATGTAATGGGTTCAAATTTAGTTTGATAGGAATGTCAATTTAATGGTTCATTGTGTTATATTGAAAATAGTTGTCATTTGTATAAGGGAAATTAGCTCAAAAACTATGATATTGCTACGTTTTGTAACATATAGCTACCTTGTGTGACCTACATGTATGTCATATAGCTACCTTGTTGTGACCTACATGTATGTCATATAGTTGCATTGTTGTGACCTACATGTATGTCATATAGCTACCTTGTTGTGACCTATATGTATGTCATACAGCTACCTTGTTGTGACCTACATGTATGTCATATAGTTGCATTGTTGTGCCCTACATGTATGTCATATAGCTACATTGTTGTGACCTACATGTATTTCATATAGTTACATTGTTGTGACCTACATGTATGTCATATAGCTTCCTTATTGTGACCTACATGTATGTCATATAGCTGCCTTGTTGTGACCTACATGTATGTCATATAGTTACATTGTTGTGACCTACATGTATGTCATATAGCTAACTTGTTGTGACCTACATGTATGTCATACAGCTACCTTGTTGTGACCTACATGTATGTCATATAGCTTCATTGTTGTGACCTACATGTATGTCATATTGCAACATTGTTGTGACCTACATGTATGTCATATAGCTGCATTGTTGTGACCTACATGTATGTCATATAGCAATTGTATTTTTACATTAAACATCGTCACATTTATGTATACTTTTATAATCTTACTTTAAATTAATTACACCCCTAACCCATAACATTATTCCATTCCTGTTCTGACAAAATATTAGTAAATCCAAGGTATATGTTTTTAGTGACTTTGATGCTTGGCTTTGAAAAACTGCTCACAAAATATCAGTTTAGATTTTCAGACAAAATTCCTACTTAAATGAATTCCCCGCTAAAATCTCTGGATCCTGAAAATATTTGGTTTCCATTCATGTTTTTGAAGAAAAGTGTGAAACCTTCATACCATGTCCCATTGTCAGTATTATGATGCCACTAATCTTATTGTGGCAGCACTGACTTTGTTGTTCTAAGAAATATTTGACCTGACGTTTGGAGAATGATAACTACATGTAGTTTATTAAAATCCTGTCAGCAATAACTATATATATTACAGGACTACAAAACCGTTTAAAAGCCATTGTTTGAATAAAGCATTGTTTGTCTAACATATGAAGGGTATGCACAATACTAGTTCCATCCTGAGATATGTTGTATAGAAAATGTTTGAAAATACACTGTATTGAAACATTATAGTCAGGTAAACATATCAATTATTTTTACTAGAAACTTTGTTAACAGAACTTGACCAGAGAAATCCAATAAAACATTTGAATATTATTTGTTTTTTCCATCTTGCCTTTGAATTTTAAATGCTCCTGATATCACTGAATGTGGAGAACAAGGATTATTATCTGGTGTATCTGTGTGTGTGGTAGTGTTTGGTAGGTCACCGGAGACAATTTTCGACTTCTATAAGCCACTGATGTCAATATAGTTAGCAGGAAGCTTCTATAGTTATTAGCTCACCTGGCACGAAGTGCCAAGTGGGCTTATGCAGTGGCGCTGCGTCCAGCGTCGGTCCGTCCGGCGTCCGGCGTCAATATTTTACTTTTAACGACTTCTTCTTAATAACCNTATGCAACATTGTTGTGACCTACATGTATGTCATATAGCTACATTGTTGTGACCTACATGTATGTCATATAGCTACATTGTTGTGACCTACATGTATGTCATATAGCTACATTGTTGTGACCTACATGTATGTCATATAGCTACATTGTTGTGACCTACATGTATGTCATATAGCTACATTGTTGTGACCTACATGTATGTCATATAGCTACATTGTTGTGACCTACATGTATGTCATATAGCTACATTGTTGTGACCTACATGTATGTCATATAGCTACATTGTTGTGACCTACATGTATGTCATATAGCTACATTGTTGTGACCTACATGTATGTCATATAGCTACATTGTTGTGACCTACATGTATGTCATATAGCTACATTGTTGTGACCTACATGTATGTCATATAGCTACATTGTTGTGACCTACATGTATGTCATATAGCTACATTGTTGTGACCTACATGTATGTCATATAGCTACATTGTTGTGACCTACATGTATGTCATATAGCTACATTGTTGTGACCTACATGTATGTCATATAGCTACATTGTTGTGACCTACATGTATGTCATATAGCTACATTGTTGTGACCTACATGTATGTCATATAGCTACATTGTTGTGACCTACATGTATGTCATATAGCTACATTGTTGTGACCTACATGTATGTCATATAGCTACATTGTTGTGACCTACATGTATGTCATATAGCTACATTGTTGTGACCTACATGTATGTCATATAGCTACATTGTTGTGACCTACATGTATGTCATATAGCTACATTGTTGTGACCTACATGTATGTCATATAGCTACATTGTTGTGACCTACATGTATGTCATATAGCAACATTGTTGTGACCTACATGTATGTCATATAGCTACATTGTTGTGACCTACATGTATGTCATATAGCTACATTGTTGTGACCTACATGTATGTCATATAGCTACATTGTTGTGACCTACATGTATGTCATATAGCTACATTGTTGTGACCTACATGTATGTCATATAGCTACATTGTTGTGACCTACATGTATGTCATATAGCTACATTGTTGTGACCTACATATATGTCATATTGCAACATTGTTGTGACCTACATGTATGTCATATAGCTACATTGTTGTGACCTACATGTATGTCATATAGCTACATTGTTGTGACCTACATGTATGTCATAT